CAGATTGGTAAAAATCTATCAAGGTGAAAGCTAAAAGAAATGTAGTGTTACTGCATATCTTGCCCTTTCTAGGAAAATTTAGTAAAACCTCAGATCAAAACCATAATCCATTTTTCTCGTCATACATCATAAATTATAATAGGTAGCTAAAGCAAAGTGTAACTATCTCAGGAAAAGGTTATCCAGTCTTGCAAATGTTTGGTTCAGCAATTCACATTGCATTTAAGAAAGACTCTGGAAAACCTTATAAGCACCCAGACAGTTACCTTCTTTGCATTCTTGACCTTTATCTTCCTTGGAGGAAGGATGTCCCAGTCTGTGTACATACTACCAAACTCTCTCTCTTTATTGTCCACCAGAACGCTGTAGGAAGCGTCAGGCCGCAGAATAAATGTGTAGAAATGATTTAATTTGTCTGTTTCACATTGCAAATCCTTTTTGATTGGATAATTCTGTCCCTGATATGAAAGTATAACATGAAGTTTCTTCGTCTGTGTTCCGCATATATCTGGTCCAAACATTAGACTACATAGAAAAAGAAGAACTAATGAGAATCCCCAAACACAACAACACCATGTGAAGACCTTGTAGCAAAAAGCATGGACATGTAATCAATCATCTATAAGTTCATTGAATTCAAAAACATCTCCACTTTTTCGTGGGATCACCATCCCCATTGTTCTTCCCACTATGGTCTGGTCTCATAGCAACAACGATATAACTAAATCTAGGCAACTTGACTTAGATTGCATATAACATTCTAGGAACTGATGTTCATTAAAAAGGCATTAAGGTATAAGGCACAAGATTACCTGTAAGGAGTATCACCACCGAACTGCTTCTGGTTAACATAGCCAGAGAGGAGCTTGATGTAAGCACCACCACATTCTATATCTTGTTCAATCTTGACTGAGTACTGGACAACAAGAGTCCGGTTTTTGTTGCTAAACTCAGGAATCTTTGCAGAGATCGCATAATGCTTGGCATCATTATAGGTCTGAATACCTAAACACATGAAGAAAATAAAAAAAAAGAAAGAAAAAAATCCTAAGTTAAACCAAAAAAAGATTATATTTTCCTCAAGTTAACTTCAGAGATCGAAAGCCAGTACACTTGACAATCCATAACTTTGTCACAGAACAAAAGAGCTCAAGATCTACACACAACCTGTTGCTGAAACGAACATATCTAAGAACTAAAATACAAATCCTAGTTTTAACCAATTAAACATTCTATTTTCTTCAAGATAACTTCAAATATCGAAAGCCAGTACACTTGAGAACTCCATGTTTTACTCCACAAAAACAAAAGAGCTAAAGATCTACACACAACTGGCAGCTGACAAGAACTAAAACACTGCAACATAGCAAAGATCACAGGGCAAAGCATGAAAGCAGAGAGAACGGAGATTAAGATTCTCTTACTCTGCAAATGCAGCTGGTACAAAATCTACTTAGCATTGCAAAAATCAAGTGAAACCCTTAACGCCAAAAGAATGGAGTTGTGCAATTAGAAATTAAGATAACAAAAAAGGTCGGCGAAAGGAATAACCTTTATCGTCAGGATCGCCGGGCCATTTACCGGCAGTGTGCTTAAAGGTTCCAGCTTTGCCTTCGTTTCTTTTCCAATCAGACAAGACCCACCTACTTTTCCATCCACCTGAACACATCTTACTAAGTTAATTGCATAAATCTATAAATAAATAAAAAAAAAAAAAGAAAGAGAAATCCACAACCATAGATTCGTTATATTAACCAGAAAATGAAAAGCCTATAATAGAAGATTATAGTGAGTGATGGATTTGGATTCACTACCTTAAACAAGTCAAAATCTACCAAGGAAGTTACTACTTACTGATCATAGCAATAAAATCAAAAGGAAACAAGAACCGATAACGAATCGTTGTTTTGTTTCCCAGAAAAAACAGAAGAGTGTTAGTATATTATATACTGCACCTTCGAAATGCTCCTCTAAGAAGATCTCGGAGAAAGCCAACGGAGCAATAGTGAGCACAGAAAAGAGAAAGCGGCAGAAAAAACTGAGCTTATTTTGAGGTAATCCCATTTTTTTTTAGAATCTCTCACTTCACCATGGTTGGTGAAAAATTGTGCTTGGCCCTTTAATAATAGCAAGCAGCAAAGAAGAATGTTGACTCAGTGTCGTTTGGTTTAATTACATTATTACCCCTAAAGGTTTGGATTTTTCTTTCATCTTTTCAAGTCTTTGTTGTTTTTCTCAAGTCGTCGCATGGTGGACTGACGAATATTCAAAGTCGTTAACTCGTTTTTCATCGTAAGAAATGGGGCAAATCTTGTTCTAACTAAATCTAGTAATCATAACAATTCAATTATATTTTCTTTATTTTATGAGAGCCAAGAATATCTTTAAAAAAAAAAAAAAAAAAGTGCCAAGAATATAATTTTTTCAGATAAAAAAGAAAAAGAAATTGTGGGATAATAAAATCCAAAAAACTCCTCCAATCAATAACAGTATTATACCGTGTCATTATCAGCATGTTCAGTCCAGTCCAGTCCAGCCCAATAAGCACGAAATTTCTCTTATCCAAAATTTGTCCACTAACCTCACATTAGCAAGTAACTAATAACTTAATCCTTGAGTTTATTTAGATTCCACAGTAAACACCTTTCTTACTTTTAAAAGACATGTATACCCCTTATTTCAATGGCGTGACTCACTTACAGAACACGTGCCTTACGCGTGACCTTCGAATTTTTATCACTTATGCCACTTTTTGGCAAAAAAATGATCTGGCCTGCCACCCAATAATCTACATGCCATCGAAAATATGAAGTACCGAAATTACCTTTAATGAATAAAGAAGAAGAAATAGAAAAAATTAAAAAAAAAAAAAAACAAAATCGTTTTTTGTTTCTCTCCTCTCCTCCCCGACCCCGACGCTTTTCTTCCTCCTCCGCCGCTCCCGCCGATCTGCAACTACGGCTCAACAGGCGCCTCTTCCTTCTCGAAATCGGTTAGTTTCTTCTCACATATCCTCTTGACATTGCTCCATTGTTTTGTTTTTAGGTATTTCATGAGTATTCTGGAATTTTTTAAAATTAGGGATTTCAAATGAAAATTGGGTTTTATTTGGATTAGCGAATGTATATTGGCGAATGGAGGTATTTGCATTGGTAATTAAACGAATGTAGCTCGTCCATTGTTGAATCTAGTCACATCTTATGTAGAATCAAGTCAGATCTCAGTCAACTGGTATAGCTAACAGAAAGTTATTCAACTGGTACAAATAAGTCAAATTATTCAACTGGTACAACTGATAGACTATACGCCAACTAGTACAAATGATAGTATGTAGGTCAACTGGTACAAATAGTACAACTGTGACAAATGGTGTAGATAATTATGTTTTAAATTGTTGTATTTTCAGGAGGCGATGAAGAAGAAGAGCCACACTAACGTACATTTTGACTATGGAGGGTACTATTCAGAAGAGAATGAGTGGATTTTTAAAAATTTACTATACGCTATATCGTTTGAGTTCATGGTTCAAATGGTGTATGTGCTGTTTTTAATTATTGTATTTTCAAGATAGTACCCTCCATAGTCAACTGGTACAACTGATAGTATGTAGGCCAACTGGTACAACGGATAATATGTAGGCCAACTGGTACAACTAGTATAACTGTGAAAAATGGTGTAGATTTGTGCTGTTTTTAAATGTTGTATTTTCAGGATAGTACCCTCCATAGTCAACTGGTACAACTGTTAGAGTATAGGCCAACTGGTACAAATAATAGACTGTAGGCCAACTGGTACAACTAGTATAAGTGTACCAGTGGTAATTATGTTTTAAATTGTTGTAATTTCAGGAGGCGATGAAGAAAAAGAGCCAGACTAACGTACATTTTGACTATGGAGGGTACTATTCAGAAGGGAATGAGTGGATTTTTAAAAGCCCGAGCATCCAGAAGCAACTTGACTAATTCTCTAGTTCAACCGGTACAACTGTTTTACCACTTGGGTTCAACTAGAACAACTGAACCATTTGGGTTCAACCGGAACAACTTAAACAACTTTGTATTTTTATTTGTAAGACTAATAATACTTTGTAATATATGGATTATTGTTTGTAAGACTAGTTTGTAATATAAACTATTTTTATACTTTGCAGTATGAGTAAGATTGGTTTCTGGGTTCAGCCGGTACAACTAGGAACAACTAATACTACAAAAACATAAAATTACATAAATTAAACCATAATAAGTGATTTTAAACATTTTAAAACTCTGAAAGTACATTTAATATTTTTAATATATGATATTTAACATTATCAATAATTAATGTTTACATAAACTTGTTTTACACATATCACTCATTAGGTAACAAGCAACATTTAGTTCAAGATCATCTATAAAGATGGAATAAGTATGGAAACTATGTAGTCTTACAAATTATTCTATAAAAACTTCTTAAAAACCAATATAATTTGGAAATTGATGGTAACAACTAGAAAATTAAGATTATTTTTAAGGTTCAACTACAAAATTACAAAATTTGAAATAGTTCAACTGTGAGCAAATCAGGACAACTGAACATCTAAAGACAACTATGTAGAAAATCTAATTGTCAAGGGTCCCACATAAATGTGTTCACAGTAGTCTTTGACTAGCTTTTGACTCAAACCGGGCCCACCCTGTGATGATTTTTGGAAATAAGTTTTTTTTTCTCTCTCTCTCTCTCTCTCTCTCTCTCTCTCTCTCTCTCTCTCTCTCTCTCTCTCTCTCTCTCTCTCTCTCATCTCGCTTCTCTCTTCTTCTTTCCTTTCTTCGTCTTCTCTCTTCTTCTTCCTTTGAAAATGAGAAACCCAAAAATTAGGGTTTTCAGATTTCTTCAAATTTTGCAAAATCTGGGTAATTCTCTCACATCTCGCTTCTATCTTCTTCGTCTTCTCTCTTCTTCTTCTTCCTTTGAAAACGAGAAATCCAAAAATTGGGGTTTTCAGATTTCTTCAAATTTTGCAAAATCTGGGTTATCTCGCCGTTAAGGTTTAATTGCTTTAAGTTTGATCTGGGTTAATTGCTCAAAATCTGGATTATCTCGCCGTTTTAACCTCTTTTGAATATGCAAGGGATGGAAATCCTGCTTTGGAGTCGATCCGAGAAACTCTTCGTCTTATGCGTGAAGAAATTGATGATCTTAAAGAGAGGTTAGCCACAAAAGAAGTCGAGATTGCGAGGCTTAAGGGTTACTTTCAAGGTGGTAATATTGTATGATTACCACCTAGTCTTTGTAATATTTGAATTTGTATTTTGGATATGGATTTGTGTTTTTGGAATATGGATTTGTGTTTTCATGAAATCTTATTAGTATTTGTACCTGCCGTAATGGTAGTTGTACTTGGTTCAACCGGTACAACTTCGACTTATATGTAGTTGTCCTTGATTTATCATATAGTTGTCCCTGTATTATTAGTAGTTGTCCTTGGTTTATCACATAGTTGTCCCTGGATTATTAGTAGTTGTCCCTGGATCAACCGGAACAACTAAATTTAAAATTTAGTACTCACTCCAACAACTACATGAGTACCAAGAAGAAGGAACCTCACGTTTCACTTCATCACGTAGAGTCAATTGCTTCCTAACAATCTCAACACGTATATACAAGCTAATGAACCAATAAGCTAAATTCTTCACAGAGCTCGCATCTTTAGGCCAACATTTACTAAACGCAAACATATTATTAAACATCCCCGACGGAATCTTCCAGGAGAGACACATATCTTGATTAAACTTCTCCGACATCTACACAAAAATCAAACTCAAAATTAGGGTTTCTACAAACAGGAACACGAACCAGTGATGATTAGATTTTACTAAACCTGATTAAAAGAGAGTATATCGGAGCGTAATCGAGTACGTTCGCCTTTATCGCACTTAATCGAGCTCGAGACGTTGTTAACGACGATCCCACCGGGGAAGACTAAGTCACGGTTCCGGGTCGGGACGATTTCGACTAACCTGGAACCGTCTGGTGTAGTTTTACAAGCGGAGAAACGAACATCGGAGCAGAGATAGTAACCTAATCCGATCACTGAGACGGCTTTCTTGGCGGCGGATTGAGCATCGAGGCGGGTGAAATTGTTATAGGCCATGGATCCGAGAGAGAGATGATGGTGAAAGAAAGGGAAGAGGAAAATTCAAAAGATTGTGGCTTTGTGTGGTGAAGAAGAAGAAGAAGACGAGCGCGAAGCCATTGAAGTGGTCAACGGTGTATGGCTAGGAAAGAAAAAATTTAGTCAACACGTAATTACTTTGACTTTACGGCTTTATGTTTGAATTTCGGATATGGAATTATATAGTGTGAATATGAATATTAAACCGGAGGAGACGAAGATGCAAACAGAGACGGAGGAGACGAAGACGAACTCGGAGGAGACGAGACGCGGAGGAAACGAAAGGCGGATAAGACGCAGACGGTCCGAGGCAACACGAAGACGCCGGAGACGACGAAAACGGACGGTCTGAAGCGATTCCGATGAGAAGCGACGGAGAGAAGTGACGGAGATTCGAGAACTCGACTCTTCTTCTTCCGATTTATAGTTTCTCGATTTATACTTAGATTATTTTTGTGTTTTTCAGATTTAGGGTAAAATTTGAAGATTTTTTATGGGTCGGATTATTTTTCATGGGCTTGGATCGGATTATTAAGATTGGGTCATAGTTTTTAGAATTTGGTTTGGTTTTTATGTCTTTTACTCAATTTTACGAATTAAAATAAATTCAAAAATAAAAACAAAACATAACAGTGGCATAAGAGGTTAGCATTTCTCGATCAGTGGCACAAGAGGTGAACTCTCGTGACCTTCCTCCATCATCACACCACCGATGGCCTCCGACGACGTCCCAAGCCTATCTCCGTCGCCGGCTTCTCCGATGGCTAAAAGTCGTGTTGACGTCTTCTGGCACGAAGGAATGCTCCGACACGACGCCGTAGAAGGCGTCTTCGACACCGGACACGACCCAGGATTCCTCGACGTATTGGAGAAGCACCCGGAGAACGCCGATCGCGTCAGGAACATGCTTTCGATACTCCGACGAGGGCCCATCGCTCCCCATGTCAATTGGTTTACCGGCCGTCCTGCAATCGTTTCGGAGCTTCTAATGTTTCACACTTCAGGTACATCGATCTAAGGTTCGAATTAGGGCAGAAAAGAAGCAACTTTAAAAAATTCGACTTTGATTTGTGCTTATTGCTTTCTCATGTAACAGTAATACTAATCCATTGTGATCCTTGTGCAGAATATATTGACGAGTTAGTGGAGGCAGATAAATCAGGAGAAAGGCGTGAAATTGCTGCTGGTACTTTCATGAGCCCAGGCTCGTGGGAAGCTGCTCTTCTTGCAGCTGGAACAACTCTTTCAGCAATGCAACATATTCTTGATTGCCATGGAAAAGTTGCATATGCTCTGGTACGCCCACCAGGCCACCACTCACAGCCTTCTCAAGCTGATGGGTATTGCTTCCTCAACAATGCGGCTCTTGCTGTCAAGCTGGCATTGAATTCGGGTTCTTGTTCCCGAGTTGCGGTTATTGACATCGATGTACATTACGGAAATGGCACAGCTGAAGGGTTTTACTCATCTGATGAGGTTCTTACGGTGTCCCTTCATATGAACCATGGATCATGGGGATCATCTCACCCGCAGAAAGGGTCGATTGACGAACTTGGTGAGGACCTGGGATTGGGTTACAATCTGAATGTCCCTTTACCGAATGGCACTGGTGACCGTGGCTATGAATATGCCATGACTGAGCTGGTGGTTCCTGCAGTTAGAAGGTTTGGACCCGATATGGTTGTTCTCGTTGTTGGTCAAGACTCCAGTGCTGTAAGTTCTTTCTTTGCCCAAATGCATGTAGGCTATCTGACTGAGAACTTACGCATGGTTTTGTTCACAATTATTGTCTTGGTTACTGGTAATTAGCTATGCGGCTCTGATGGCTCTGCTGTGATAAGTCTGCATAAGAGGTTAGAAGAGTGTAGCTGTTGCATCAGCCATGTCACCTCTCTAATATTTACTTAGCAAATGATAGATAAAGGTTAGTATAAATAGAAGATGATCAAAGGTAGAAGGGGTTGTCTAGAGATTTGGGTATTGGTTTGGCATTGAAAGAGTTTACGGTGCTCGAATTCACCCTAGGATCTTTGGTTCCTTTGCTTCAATTTGTTCTGTGTTCTTCATTTGCATTCTGATTCAGAGAAGAGTAAAGGAAGATATGGTTTCTGGTTCTTATTACACTACTTAGTGGTCCCCTTATTGAGCTTAGTGAATTTATTTCATCACAAATTTTACTAACCGAGCTGTTCACTTTTTGGCCCATGGAAGTTAATGAATTATCTGGTTCACAGGAAAATGTCTCTTAAAGTTCTCCAGCTTAGAACTATTGGTTTAGCTACAAACATTTGCTAGAGATGCCGATGTCTAGTTTGAGAGGTGATTAGAATGTCATGGACTGACGGATAACCACTTTTTACTGTCGAATCTGCAGTTTGATCCAAACGGGAGACAAAGCCTGACAATGAATGGATACAGAAGGATTGGTCAGATAATAAGGGGAGTTGCAGAGGAGCACAGCCATGGAAGGTTGCTTATGGTGCAAGAAGGCGGGTATCATGTAACATATGCAGCGTACTGCCTCCACGCCATGCTCGAAGGCGTGCTGATGATTCCAGAACCGCATCTATCAGATCCGATTGCTTATTATCCCGAAGAAGAAGCTATTGCTGTTGCAGCTGTGGAATCAATCAAAAGATACCACTCCGAATTTGTTCCATCTCTCAGAGGAACTTGAACTCTGGCGTATGAATGACTTTATATATTCCTCGTTGTCTTGTGAGCTGTTGGAACACAACTCCAAATCAATCAGGTCAAACCCGCATATATCAAAAAACTTGTTGATCAAAAACTCTCTTTTGGGACGACAACTTATTCACACGGTCCTAGCTACTTTTTTTTTTTTTTTTTTTTTTTTACAATTAGTTAGGTTTAGACTACAAGAACAACTTTTTGTGACGAAAATATAATTTTGTGGAAAAGAGATTTTATAAATATACACTAGATATGGACAATCAAATCAAGCTTGGAAATAAGATTGGCATTGTCGCTGTAGAGAATAGCGGGTCCTAAAGAAATGCATGTCAACCTCGATCGTGGAAATATGTCAGGATAAGATCTGTATTCTCGTCTCTATGATTTGCTAGAAAGAAACCTGTTTTTATGAATCATTCTAAGAAATGGATTGATTCCAAATACTCTCGATGTGTTTTATTAGTTTATTCGTTTTATTTATTTATTACATTGGAATCGGATATAGTACAACAAACCCCAAATAATAAAAAAAAAAATTAGATGTATAAGGTTTTTACACTTATACTAACATTATAAAAAAATTACAAAACCAAATGTATCTTTATTTCATAAAACAGATATAAACTGTTTCATTTATTTTCACCCTAACTACTACTCCTATAATAAAGACAAAATGGGAAATGGTATACAAAAATTGCATTACAAATACAAAACTATGAAACATCTATCTTTATGAAATACTACTTTTTTTGGAAAACGTATATTATTAAGGGAAAAGCAATAATAAATGTCGTTTTGTGAATCCACACTCAAAGTATAAAAATGTACATTTACGAGCACTTTCGTAATGAATGGGAAATTAATGAACTTATAACTCAATTTAAGTCATTAAACCAATCCTATGAACATGCTCGAAGTAAAGAAAATGCAAAAAGGAATTCATCAAATTTTTTACTATATGTTAATCACTTTATTCACAAATTAATTAGACCATCATTGTCACTTTGAAATATGTTTTATTTGATTCTGAAGATGATTATGTATCGTTTTCAATTGTCCCTGAATTCACAAACTGTATCGTTTTACTAAATTTACGGTTGCTGCTAACCAAGTCCACGTATCGTTTTCAGATATGTCGCGTGTCTGTCAAAATAATTGAATATCAAACTGTTAATATATTCTCATTTCTTATCTGTTAGACAATACACATTCTCATCTAGTACTATTTAATTATTGTAAAATGACTGAAACAATAAGATTATTGAGCTAGTACTTACCCTATAAAAATGTAAAATTTACTTATTTGGTGATAGGACTATGTAGGTGAAAAAAAAATAAAAAATAACAAGGGGAAATCTTCACTTTATAATGGAGTAATATAACTCTGTAATTATCAAAGAAAAAAATATATATAAGTATCGAAAAATAAAAAAGAGGAACATTGTAGTATAGTCCCCACTTGTCTCTCTTCGTCTCCATATAAACCACATTAGTCTTTTCAGATTTTTTGTACACTTCCTTCACCCCCCACCCATCTCTCTCTCTCTCCTCTTCCTCCCTCTTTCTTCTTTGCTTGCCCTTTTCTTTTATTTTATTCTTCCAAAATCAAATAGTTCCTTCTTTGATCTCATTGGGATAACTAAAAGTTTCAAGAAGAGAAACATATCGTTGAAGAGAGAACCCACACAAAAAAATGTCTGTGGATTTATCATCTGAGCGTGTTTGCTATGTCCACTGCAGCTTCTGCACCACGATTTTAGCGGTAATAGTCTCCCCTCTTCTCTTATTTCTTTATATGCAAATCCAAATCTTTCTCAAAAGAAAGAGTGTTAATTTGGTATTTACTCTGAGCTAGATCCCCTTTTTTATAACTTAAATCAAACTGTTATATAAGATATTATATTATTTACCTATCAAAGATGGTTGGTGATATATTTATATGTGTATAATTGTATGATGAATTTTGCATCTGGTTCATGGATCAACGTACTTTTTTCCTGTGATTATTGATGAAGATATGTAGGGGAAGTTTCTTAATTTCAGAAACCCTAATTTTTTATTCTTTTTTCTTCTTCTTCTATACCCAAAAGAAGCAAAAGAAGTTGGGTAGTTGAAACATAAATTTTAGTGCTCAAACAAAGTAAACTCAAAGGAAACAGCTCCTGATCAGATTTAGGGCTCTATGAGTAGGTTTAAAGTCTACAGCTATAACTTCTTCTTTCCCTATTTTCACTATTTAAAGGGTTTTTTTTTTTCGTTTTTATAATTAATAAGGACATCTTTTATTCATCTCCTTCCAGTAAATCCTTCATTTTTTTAACTCTAGTATTCATATTTTCTTTGGTGTTAGTTCCCTAAGTTTCAATAGCCATTAATATTTTCTATAAAAGGAATTTGGTAGATAACATCCATGTGATGCAGTCTCAAAAACTTTCACTAAGTCTTCTACCTTTATAGTCTGACTTCATACTATCTTTTGATATGTATAACTGTAGTATGTGACACATGTATACATATATCATATCAATCATAGATCTTTCATCTACAAGCGTGGTCCATGTAAAAATGTTTACATCACATCACCAGCTGATAATTTTAAAATCATTTTTGGGTTCTCCAAAATTCCTTTTTTTTTCTTTCTACAGTGAGCTGAAGCTATTTTTATTACATATATATAAATTTCAAATTTCGTTAAAATTTCACTAAGTTTATCCAGCTTTTATTTAACGGTTTTATGTGACATTTAATAATATCCACAGTTCTTCCGTACATATTTGATGTGCATGCGTATAATAGACATCTATCTATATATGTGTGTATATATAAATTATTGATCTATGATCCATATAATTAAGCAATCATGAGAAACTAATCAGGTTATGTAGCCTAATGGTTTCTACTAATGGATTAGAGTTTAGACAAAAAAAAAAAAACAAATTTTAAAAAAGAAGAGTTCATTATGAGAAACTCTTCTACACCGATTATTCATAACGTTATACTACATATACATAAATAATGGAGATCATGTAGCACGAGTCTGATTAGGAACAAAAAGGGCCATATTTAATAAAAATGTTGAAGGTCGTCTTGCACAAAATAGGGTGTGTATTGTAGTGGAAAGTACAAAAGATTTGTTCTACCCAGTTCCAGCAACAATTTCTTGATCTATACAAAAGCTGCAAACTGTTAAATCATAGCCGATCTTGACCACTTAGGATTGGATCTAGGATTGGATCCTTTCTCTCTCTCTCTTGCTCATCACACACACACACATACACACACACAAAAATAAGAAGATTATAATAAAAAGATGGTACCATCACATATATATGTTAAGGACTTTATGGGCTGTGGTTAAGGTCACGTCGTTTTCTAACATGACTGTCTTCTCCTTACAAGCTTCATCAACCATTCTTCATCTCTTTACTATCTTTTATCATGTTGCCTTGAGGCTTGTGTGTCAGACATAGAATTCATCAGAACCCACCAAACAGAAAAATACATTCTTTTATATATGTTAAATATGATCATTTGTTTGTGCGAATATTAGTTGTGATATATAATACTTCTATGAGTGTCTATTTAGTGTAATAAAAATCTACACGACTATCTTTTACATATGAAAAAAAATCTGTATTAACCAAAAAAAAACGCTGCTCTATAGAATGGAGTATACTTGTCATACTCTCTCAAGCCCTTTCGTTACATTAGAGATTGGTCTAACGAGCCAATCTAAGTATAAATAGTGATAAACAAGACAATAACTTGTTCATATATGTAAATAATTTTCAAAAACTATCTGTAATATATATAAAGAAATCCTACAAATCACATATATTAATGATCAGGTAAGTGTACCATACGCAAGTTTGTTCACACTTGTGACGGTGAGATGTGGCCATTGTACCAATTTGCTCTCCCTCAACATTGGAGTTTCACTTCATCAAACCGCACCTCCTCCCATTCATCAAGATCTTCAGGTATCATACAAAAACCATTTTTTCTTCAACATTATTTTGAATTGATTGTTACCATGTAGAAATCTGGCTTATCTAGCTAGTCTTTGTAATCATGAAGCCGCATAAACAGCACACAACCTCTTTGGTAACAAGGAAAGATTGTGCATCATCTTCAAGGAGCACCAACAATTTATCGGAACACATCGATCGTGAGGCTCCAAGAATGCTTCCTATTCGCCGTAAGTCGCTCTTTCTTCCAATTTTTAAAAGTTTGTGTAATATATGCAATCACTAAGCTCAGTGAGTCCATAATATTATCTTTAAAATATTTTATTTTCATGGCAGCTCCGGAGAAAAGACAACGTGTACCTTCGGCCTACAACAGATTCATCAAGTAAGTGTTTAATTGCAACTTTAGCTTCCCCTTTGATGAAATATTCTCAACTATTTCACCACAACCTTAAGAAACTTCATTGTTAATTAGAGAGGAAATCCAAAGGATCAAGGCTTGCAATCCTGAGATTAGCCACCGTGAGGCATTTAGCACTGCTGCTAAAAATGTAAGCTAATTCCTTCTTTATCATTCTTTCGTCTCACAAAGTAGATTGTATAAGAGAGATAGTTCAAAAACAAAATTCCTTATAGTAGCTTCACCGACGATGTCAGAATTATAGAGAATTAGGAAGCAGATGCAAATAAAGTAATATTTTAAAGTTACGTAAGTCACGTAACTAAGATATAAAGTCTTCTTTAATACGCTGTTTTTTTTCTACTCAATATAACCCTGTAAAATAGTAGTACTAAAATGTATTTAAGCATATTTTAAAAATAAAAGAAAATCAAAAAAGTAAATAAAAAAAAAAGAAAAATGATATACAAACACATGGTTTTTTTTTTTCAATAATAATTAGTAAACAATCATATCCTAATTAAAATAAGCTTTGGTGGGAGAATTCTAGGGTTTGGTCTCTTTCTATCGAAATATAAGTGTATATACCAATGAGATAGTGGTTCTACTATTTATAATTGGTGGAATGTTTTTCACAGTGTCTATATATTTCTTAAAATTAATTTTGCTTTTCATTTTATTTGGGTGTAGTGGGCACATTTTCCTCACATTCACTTTGGATTAAAGCTGGATGGCAACAAAAAAGGCAAGCAATTAGACCAGTCAGTTGCAGGCCAAAAGTCTAATGGCTACTACTAAAGCCTTTATATATACATACATATATATACACTATATATATGCGTGTGTATGCTTTATGTTTATCTTTGTACGTACGCATTTATGAATGTGTAAGCAGAGAGCTGATGATGGAAGAGATCAGGCGAGGAAGAAGAAGATCATATAACCTTACATATGTATACATGTATGTATGTCCCTTTCCTTTTCTTTGCGTGGGCTTCATTCATCTATAACTTCGTTTCTAGTTTATTCTCCTAATAAGTGAAGTCTGTTATGGTTTTCGAAATTGAACCTAAATGTTTAGGAAGAATCTTCTTTCTGAAGATTGTAATATATATTTCCACTTTACTCATTCTGAAAAGGTGTAGCTTTTTGTGTGGTCACGACTTTTATATATAAAATCAGTAGTTTTTCTTTAATCAAAAATAAAATAAAAAATTATTAGTTTTATGGTGGTTGTACATACTATATAATACATGAGGTAAAAGAGGATGTGAGGAAATTGATTGATTATATAAATATATAATACTCTATCCGTATCATTTAAAATGATGTTTTAGAAAAATGTTTTATTTCACTTTAAGTGATTTCAACTTTCTACGTAAAATTAAATGTATTTTACAGTATATTTTATGATTGGTTGAATTACTTGTAGTTAACTAATGATGTTTTTATGTAAAAGAGATATATTAAATGGGATTTTTGTGATTTTTTAATGTGTGCAAAAATTTTAAACTCACTTAAAATGAAAGAGAGAGACAATCAATTACAATTAATGTATAGAAATTTCAAATACAAATAAAAGGAATTTAAATGTTGGACTTTAGATGTTGGTTTGTGTGATATATATATATGTACATTTACAGTATATATATATATATAGAGAGAGAGAGAGTGAGCAGTAAAAGATAAATTCCATCACACACCAAAAAAATAATGTAAAACACACCAAAAAAAAAAAAAAAGATAAATTCCATCTTGGGATATGATATGGTAACTTTTACGGTGCTGAGATAAGTCTGAAACTCACTCATTCCAAAGAAACATTCTTTGCAAAAGCAAAGGCTCCCAATGAATAGTTCACTTGATTGTTTTTAATACTTCTTCTTTTTTCTTTATTTTTTTATCAATGAGAAATCAATGCTCGTGTCTCCTCTTGTCAGCCACAAAACTCACAATCCGGTTGAGTATCATGATTAAAATGTTCACACTTTTATTCTGCTGATCGATCGGCTCACTATTTTTTTGAAAAATCATAAACAGCGTGAAAATCTGGTTTTTAAACCGTTGCAGCGGATGAAACGGTCTAGTTCTGGTCGATACCGTTTTTCATCAATGATGCGAATGTGACCAAAAAAAAAAAAAAACTTGACGGTAGGCACATTTTATGGGGGGAAATGGTATATAATGAATTACTATTTGTCTATGATATATAACAACCAGTTCGCTCGTGTATTAATTTGCAGTGATCGTTATCAAGATTCGAAACCATTGTTGTTTTAATAACATGGAAGATTTGACTTTGTCAACGCATACTCGTTTTGTGAAACTTTTGTAGTATGTGGTCAACATAAACCATTCTTTTAAAAGATAAAATAACGTATATGAACTCTTTTAAGTGACTACTGAATATTATAACAAAAACGTTGTCTCCTATAATTTAATGTAATACAGTAGTATATACCAATTATAAAAATAATGCTAAAGATATTTTGTTGTATAGCTGTGGTCAACTTTTGCTAAAAGAATGCCAATTTGGAAAAAATAAGCATTAGACCAAATAGCAATCACTATAGTTTCCACGTCAACATCAAATTTCTATTCAATATTACGTACTAATTATAACTTCATTTTCTCTTTGTCCAAAATGGACACTAACTCTGCATCATCTTGTGGCTACGTTTAACGATAACCATCTCGTAGAGATCGTATCTCGCACCACTCGATGATTGAATTTCTCCGACGAAGGGTTAGAGAAGTGGGGTCGTCTCCAATGTGTGAAACAGTATTAGAGACGCTTACGTACACCTTCCATCGTCCATGCACACACATTTTAAGAAAAAAGGAAAGTTGAAAAGCTTTGCGTATATGATATTGAATTGAGATATGTATAAATATAGTAGTAGGAGAGGGAGGGGAAGAGAGGGGAGAGATGACATTTTTAATGAAGGGTCCAAAAGAAAAACAGAATCTGAAACGTCAAATCATGTTAGTTGGGGTCTTTGTTATGTCTTTGGCTGTTTGTGCCTCTGACGGGTCTTGTCCACACACTTTAATGTTTCCTTTTCTTTCTTCCTTTTTTCACTGCCTTTTTTCTTCTTTCATTATTATGTTTTTTTTGCTTCAATCTTCACTATTACCGTTTCATTTTTCTTTGTTTGTTTAACGGTAAATCTGTTTCGGAACAATTTAGTGACTTAGTCTAATAGCCATTAGCCACAATAAAAAGATGTACAGAAGAATGTATTAATTATATATATATAAGTAGCCATATAGTTTGCCAAACTAAGTCCATAACAAATAAGAAACGTGGATAGACAGCTTTGTCCTTCATTTCTTTTGGTGTTAATTAGCTTGCATGTATGACATAAAACAAATTTGACATAAGTCACATGAAATTCGTTTGATTGAATTCTATAAAACAATTATTTTTAATATGTAGGTAACAGAATTATGTATTTTTAATTAATGGTTTAATTAAACCCTATACCATTTAATGACATGATATTTAATTAATAAAACCCTACTACCTCCTACATCTTTAATCCTAACAATTCTACGAAATTGTATATATGTTTAACCCTAACATTGTACCCTTACGTAAATTTATAAGATGCAGCGAAATTCTTTATATTTTATTAACATGTTTTAATTCTAGTCGGTATGTAACAAATCATATAATGTTAGAAATGAAACGTGGAATATTAAAAGATGAAAACAGTGTTTTTTAATAATTGGTTTACTATTAAATTGCAAAGAACAAATATTATTCAAGTGGCCAGCCCAGCCCAGTAATAGATAGGTTTAAGCCCAGCAATTAGAATCGAATCGAACCATAACGTGAACCGAATCAATGATTGCACCCAAGTAATCAATCACCCTTTAAAGTTTAAACGAAGGGAGATGAACAGTTTGTAGGAAGCGGAGCTCTTCATTGGCAGTTTTGTTGATCCAGTGAGAAATATTTGTCTTCTTTGACGATCAAAGTTTGCTTTGTAGGTACCATTCACTTAATCTACATCAAAAACCCTAAAAACCGAAAACAAGAAACCAAATACTAAAATGCTCATTGAAAGACTAAAAGACAGGACAAAAAGGATACTGTATTTAGTAGTAATTGTTTGCACTGATTACGTCGAGGATAGTTCGATAAAGAGATACAGTACATAATGCAATCCCATAGCCAACTAGAATTTGTATTAAAAAATTAAGGCAAGTCATATACGGCAATGAAAGACATCAATACACTTCCCATCCAAAGCTTCCCATCTTTCTCCTCCACTTCACTCACTGCCTTCACCACTTTCCCTTTGCTATCTTCCAACACCTTTAGCACCTTCCCTTCTTCACTGTACTTCACAGCCACCGCATGAGGCCAACCACCTACCTGCAGCAAGTACTGAAACTTCACTGATATCGGCAGCTTCAGAAAGAACTTCCTCACCCTCGGGTGATGCGCCATCACGTGTGTGAATATGTTTCTGTGGCAGTGCACCGCCACCCAGAAATCCCCGTCTTTGTTTGTGCGGATGTTGTCTGGGAACCCATGTAATAGAGCTACCACTTCTGACGTTCCAGCTTTTTCTCCTTTCAACCAGTATTTCCGTAATCTGAACAACGACAAAAACAAAAAAAGACTTATTGGAGTTTGTTCTAGCAGCAGGATCATTGAATTGATATGGAAACAACATGAGAATCCTTCCATTTTAGCTTCAATCAGAAATGCTGATTACAGAAGTTATGCCAAGTAAAAATAACAGACAATGATGTGGAAGTCACAGAGGAATTAAGATGAAGGACTCACCTTCCAATTGATCCTTCACAAAATATGAAAAAGGAGCCGTCTTTGCCGAGGGATAATCCATTAGGAAACTGGAGATTTCTCACGAGAGTGGTAGTCTCCTTTGTTTTTGGATTGTATTTCAACACCCTCCCGCTGTCTTCCCCCGAGACAATCAAAAGCATGAATTTCCTATAAATTCACAAATACAGCAATCATTATACACACGACACTAAGGGCACAATTGGTCAAAACACAAGTAGTAACTAGACATCAGAAGCCATTGCAAGCTGCAACTTCTTGTAGATTCTCAAAAGATAACATAATTCAACATCAAAGGCTCTCAAAGTTATAGCGGCAGTCAAAAATTTTGAATTTATGTGCCTCTGGAAGATCATTTCAATCAATATCACATGGGTTCCAAGAAGCAAAACATGAAAAGCAAACAGAACCAAACTCCAAGCAACACACTGATCAGGAGAGTTAAAGATCAAAACTTTAAAACCATACATACCTTCGTTGGAAAAAAGAGCTGCTATCAGTAAAGTAAACATTGCCTTGGTCATCAATGTCAAGATCATTGGTAAATCTCAAAGGCACACCATCTGCTTCGTTTGTAACAGAAGTTGCTAAACCTCCTTCAGGACCAACTTTCATTATCCCCAAATACGCATCTGCAATGTACAAATCCCCAGTTTTCTTGTCGAATCGAAGACCTAAAGGCCGACCACAGATATCTTCATCCTTTAAGTAATCCAAAAGTGATGGCTTTGGATCACATAGCTCTGACCTAATAAACATCAAAGTTGAGAACTTTACTGGAAACGAATTGGCCACAAGACTCGATTGCAATCAGAAGACTCACCGATTGTTGGAAGTATATGCGAAATCGATCCAACGAGTGCCATTCCAAAAGAGAATTCGACCGTCGGCGACTCCGGTATAAGGACCACGACCTTGCGGATCGAAAGCAATACTCTCAGGGCCTTGAACCTCGTTAAGAAACCTGATCTCCGAATTCTGAAGCAGATTCTCACGGTCTCTTTCCTTGGGAAGGGACGATAATGGAGGCATGTCAATCTTGTAAGTTTTGAAGTCCGGGAACTTGGAAATGGAGCTGTGACTGAAGGGATCGAGAGCGCAATAGATGGCAAAGACGAGAGAGATCTTCGCGACTATGCTCAAAGCCATTTTTCTTTTGGCGTTTCTTTGGCTGAGGGATGATGATTTGAAGAAGAAATTGGTTGGGGAAGTTTTAAGGCAGAGAAGAAGTAGTTGGAAGTAGTTAGTATACACTTTTTTTTCTGGTTGAAAATTTAAAACTTTTGCTCAGTTGCTGCTCTTTTTGGATATATAAGAAAAGTGGAGGAGCAATTGATGAAAATCAAATCTGATGGAAAACCGGACCCTTGAAAACCGGGTGAACCGGATCGACTCACCAGTTTTATTTATGGGTATTCTTCAATTAAAAATCAGAGAAAAAAGTTTCCACTGAGAAAGAAAGAGGAGATAAATCGATCTGAGAAAGATGGGAGATTCGGAGTCATTTGTTGGCAAAAATTGGAATGGATTCAAGGATTTCTGGAGTGATAGGTTATCTTTTTTCGAGAATTACACCAGATTCACCAAACGCGACTCGCCTCTTCCTTCTTGGTCTTCCTCCGACGTCGACGAATTCATTGCCTCCGATCCTGTTCATGGACCCACCGTAATTCCACCCTCTCTCTCTCTCTCTCTCTGTGTTTTGTTACCTATGGATGTAGTTTGATTCGTTGTTTGATCCTTTATCTATGGCTTAGCTGGTACTCGATTTTACTCTTGCTCTCTGATTGCTTTTCTCATTTAATGTTCCATTGGGAGGTTTCTGTTTGTTTGTGATTTAATAATTCTTGTGGTGCTTGTATATCAAAATATAAGAGAAAGAAGCCCATTAAATCCTCTTCGGTTGACATTAGAAAAATAACTTGTTAACATATATGAGAACAAAACTGGACTTGTGATTTGGTACTTGGCATTCTTACTCAAGATATGTTGACGTTTTAAGTCCTAGCCAAGTTTTGCTAACATTGTGTATCTATCCAGCTGAAAACTGCTAGGGAAGCTGTGACGTTCGGTGTTACTGGCGCTGCACTTGGAGCTGTCTCTACTGCTGCTTTTGCCTGGAAATACTCCAGGAGTCCTCATGGTAATTACTATTTTCTCTCTCTCATCTCTCCAGGAGTCATTATCCATTATCCAGGAGCTATTCATGGATAATGGAACTATATGGGACTCAATGCAAAAGCTTGGAAAATGGTTGAAAGGTTATGCAGTTGTCATCGGGCTTACATGTTGCTAAAATACGTAAATGATGTTTATTTTTTTCTTCTTACTTTGAACTACTGCTGCTGCCACAGGTGCTGCATTGTCCTTCTTAGGAGGAGGTGTTTTTGGTTGGACCTTTGGGCAAGAGGTCGCCAACCACACACTGCAACTCTATAAGTTGGACACTATGGCAGCCCAAGTTAAGTTCTTGGAATGGTGGGAACGTAAGTCTCAATGAAGGTCCTCAATCTAAAGTGAAGACGCGTGCTGCTTTCTCGTCCAGAGTATCTTGCAAACAGCATGAAATGCTGATACTTATCCATCCATTTCCAGACTTTCGCCTTTGAAACTTTTTCTATTCTCACTCTTGGAACATGTTTTCCTTGTCTTAATAAATCCAACCTGCTGTTTTGAAGATTTGAGAAAATGAATTGAAAGAAACTGATTGGTCTGAAAAGAATCAGAGAATGACGACTTCCTCAACAAAGCACATATCGAACGCTTTCTTTTGATGATTCATAGAACGCTTTCTTTTGATGATTCATAGCAATAACTTATCCTCATCCTGAGTTTGTTTTTATGAAACTTACAAGTTAACAACGAAGCATGTGCTTTCGTGTGTATTCGTACAAATATGATCGATGCCTGAAATTGTTCATACTACTGCTGGTCTATTTTTTTCATACAAGTGCTAACTACAACACAAATGGCCCTTGGGACTTGAAGAACCAAAATCCACTCCCATTGATCATATAAAAGCAGATTTAAATTAATAGCCTTTGAAGCAATATACCATAAACACCAGCCCAGAGATCCAGCAGGTAGGTGTTCCACTTATTTGAAAGAATTGAAGAAGCTCACAGTGTCTGCTAGCGCAACAATGAAGGAGTCAATGTCCTCCTTCGTGTTGTAAAAGTAGAGGCTGGCGCGTGCACTTGCATTCACTCCAAGATACCGGTGGAGTGGCTGTGCGCAGTGGTGTCCTGACCTTATGGCAACTCCATGCTGCAACATACAATATTCGTTTTCAGTTTTCATCCCACTATGGATATTCTGATGAGAGAGTAAAGTAGGGGTTTAAGGTGGACAGTTAAAATTAGAACGATCAAGATGAATTTGTTTGATCTATATCAGTTTTGAACCTTCTTGCAGCTGTACTCATTACAAATGCATGAAAATCGCTCAGATCAAGTACTTGGACAGGTAACATGTAACTTAGATGATGTAGGGGTTTTGGTTTAACCTAGTTATCAGAAGAGTCCAGGCTCAAGTTCACATATGAAATTTCACCTAAACTCTTGGAATAAAGAAGATCCACCTCAATTATAGGCTGATACCACAAGATATCCTAAGCTAGGCATTTGAGATTCGCTTTGACCACTAAGTGGTAACATCACCCACCAAGGAGAGAGAGAGGTGGTGCAGTTACCATTCCCTGAGAGGTGGTAGGTAGTGCCCTTATATTACTTGAGGTACTACCTCATATTAAGAGAATATATTAGGGATAAGAGAAAACCAGTATGTGATGGGACAGATAGCTCCCAATTATAACAAACCTGTTGATCAAGAAAGGTTGCCAAATCAGTTGGGTGCAAGCCCTCCACGTTGAAGGAACAAAGAGCACCCCTGTGAACACTTTCAGAAGGTCTGGGACCGTATATCCGGACATCAGGCAGGGAAGACAGTTTCTCGTACAAATACTTACCAAGCTCTACCTATATGACATAAGAAATTAAAAACTACAGTTAGAAAATATGTGAGGCTCTTCCGGGACTGTATGTAGTATTCCATACGGTCATTGACGTCTAGTTGTAGGAAAATCATATCAAACCTCATATTCATGGATTTTCGGCATGCCAATTCCTGATAAGTAATCAACTGCTGCTCCAAGGGCAATTGCTTCTCCTATTGCAGGTGTTCCAGCTTCAAATCTGGTACAAACTTGAATATATTTATTTCCAAACTGTAGCAATTATGCAGATTAGTAACTAAAATATGTAGAATCCTTACCTGGATGGAGGTTCCGCATAAGTTGAATGGTCAAGAAATACATCTGAGATCATTTCTCCACCACCTAAAAAGAAGATCGAAATAAAAGGAAAAATAGATGTGGGATTCAGTCCAGTCCCATCCTTGTGAAACAGAAATGACGATTGTTTTCATCTAGAAATATACGATAGACGGCTTACCTAAGAATGGAGGCATGGAATGTAGAAGATCACTCTTACCATATAAGAACCCAATGCCTGTAGGTCCACACATCTGAAGAATGCTTAGCATATTACTATAAGCTTGCCACAAGGCTTATTATGCATCTCAGAAAGAAAAGTAAACAATTCCAACCTTGTGAGAAGATGCAACTAGGAAATCAGCATTTAGCTTCTGGACATCAACCACCATGTGAGGAACACTTTGACAAGCATCGACAAGAACTTTCGCTCCAACATCGTGTGCCCAGACCACAATCTCTTCAATAGGAAGAGAAGACGCTAAACAGAACGAAAAAAAAATGTTAAACACTTAACCTAATCCCGTATTCTTTCATGGAAAAATAAAACAAGCTAAACAAATTGAAAATGATGAGAACATGAAAAAGAATCTACCAAGAACATTAGAAACATGATGAACAGCCACGAGCTTTGTCTTTGGAGAAATCATTTCTCTCAACTTCTCTATGTCTGGGACTTCATCATCATTCAAAGTAACAAACTTTAGAACAGCTCCAGTTTTTTGAGATACTATTTGCCAAGGAACAATGCAACTATGATGTTCAGCCACAGTAAGTATAACCTGAAAAGCTAGCATCATTCACAATCTCATTTGGAAGAATCTCAACAAGATAACTCCCATTAAAAAAAAGAAGAAGAAGATGGATTGATAAAAGCAAAGCCAAACCTCGTCTCCTGGTTTAAGGTTAGAAAGACCCCATGAATAAGCTACAAGATTGATGGCTTCAGTTGCATTCCTTGTGAAAACAATCTCTCTACTATCAGAAGCATTGATGAAACGAGCAACTTTTTTCCTAGCTAACTCAAATTCATCTGTAGCCTTGGCACTTAAATAGTGTATTCCTCTATGAACGTTTGAATTATAGAACTCATAGTAATTCTGCAAGGCGTCCAATACAGCTGCCGGCTTCTGAGAAGTTGCAGCACTGTCTAAGTACACAAGCTTTGACCCATTCACTACCTGAAAAAAAAAAAATCAATCAATCGTAAAATTGCTTAATTCTTCCATATCCAAACGGATTTATACAGTTCGTAGTTGATGGAAAGTGGACAAACCTGGTGGAGAATTCGGAAATCGTTTCGAACGCGATGGCCGAGAGAGACGGATTCGGAATCAGTGGAGATGGTGGCGGAGGAAGAGGCGGCGGAACAGACGGATAGCGAAGAGGAGCGACGAACACGGGAGAAGCTCCGGTGTCCGATAGAGATTGCGTTAGGGGCGAGAGATTTGAACGACGGGAGTTTCATAGCCACACCTTCCATGGTGGAGAAGACGAATGAACAAGTTTGAGTTTTACCGGAGTAATTGCGTAGAGTCTTCAATGTCACGAGTTCGACCACATGCGGCGGTAAAAAGATTAATTTAATCTGAAACACTTATTACTGTAGAGATAAGGGCCGCATTAGGCCTCTTACTACGCCCTTAAATGGGCCCTTGGTTTTTAAGGTCCAATCAAACCGGTTTGCTACCGGTTCAACCGACTGAATCCGTCTGGATTTTGAAACACTGCGTTATCTTAAATATCCCATTTAGTAGAAAAAGACAGTTGACAGATACTATTTATGAAAGAAATAATGTTACGTAGGGAGCGAAGACAGCAAAGTGAGAGATCACATGGGGAAGAGCAAAGACAGAGGCGTTGTCATTTGATTGGACCGACCACTTTGTATCGTCTCATGTTCCTTCGTATTCTTAAGAGTATTTTGTCCACATGTCACGCTCACGCATGTCTTGGTTTATATGCAGTCAATGACGAGCTCATTATTACTTTATGTACAGTTTCTTATACCTTTCTTTATTACAAAGAAATACTATCAATCAACGAATCACAATTTATAATCAAGAAAACGTAAATGGAAAAGAGAGGAAGCAGAGTTATGTTGAGTTCTAGTTCATCTTGTGTTAATGTGTTACTACTCATCATGTGCCTTATGCTTCTGAGTTTGTCAGCTGATGCGTACAAGAACTACACTGTGGGAGAGTCCACGGGATGGTTCGATATTCAGGAGAGACCCTCTGCTAATTATCAGAAATGGGCTGATTCCAAATCCTTTTCTTTGGGTGATTTCCTCAGTAAGATTCTTCTCTTCAACCCCATTTTTGTCTCTACAATAACTTAGCAAAATGTTATATCGTTTGTTTTGTGTTTCAATATGTAGTTTTCAACACAGATAGCAACCATTCGGTGGTTCAGACATATGACTTCAAAACATACAAAGATTGTGATTACGACAATAATGAAAACAATGATACAACAGAGTGGTCGGCTGCAAATCCTTCAGCAACATCTCCTGTTCCCGTCTCAATAAGTGTTCCTCTTGTTAAAGAAGGTTCCAATTATTTCTTCTCGGGAAATTATGATGGCGAACAATGTAAATTCGGACAGCATTTTATGATCAATGTAACACATGGTCAGGGCTTACCAGATTTATCATCACCAGATGAAGCTGCTGCGCCTGGACCGGGCGAATCCGGTGATGATGAAGTTGCTCCTGACACCATCGTCCCGGCCAATTTCGACCATCCTAAAGATATTGAAAGTGATAATGATGATGATAAAGAGGTTCGTAATAGAAAAAGTTCTTCTTCCATAACAAAATCTAATTTGTTTTGTTTAGTCTTTATGGGGTTCTTTGCATCATTTTAATCAAATATTCTTTGACTTTTTTTCTTTTTTTTTTTGTATAAGCATTCTCTTTTCTTCTTTTTTCATAACCAGATTTTTTGTATGTACAAACATTCTGTTTTCTGAAGATACTCTAGTAGTTATCTTTCCTGATAACTCTAGAACTTTAATAATAAAAGAAACAGAGTGTGCCAAAAAAAAAAAATAAAAAAAAAAAATAATAATAAAAGAAACAGAGAGCATTAGTGGAAGTTTTAAAACAGAAAGGAAATGAAGAGAAAACAGAGTAAAGAAATGAGTTTTCCATTTTTTATCGAATAGTAGTTTTTATTGTGTTCAGTTTGTACTTCGGATTTTGATGTCTCAAAAGTTCCATAGTCTCTCACTCGTGCTTCAACGTAGAACTACAATTTTGTTTTGATGATTTAATTTTATCATCAATATGCATTATGACGGATATAAATCTAGTAGGTGACACAATAACGACTCCACCACAAATTATTAGGTTATACATACTAATCTGATTTGATGGACTAGTTCATTGTATCTACATTTTTTTTTTAGTCACAAATCTATAAAGTTAATTAATTAAGTTCATCCGTTATCCAAATTGTTTTTTTTTTCTTACAATAGTTTCAAAAAGGTTATTGGATCAAAGAACTTAAATAATTTGATGCAACTTATATACAAAAATACTGACAACTACAAGTTAACCAATATAACAATAATAAAAGAAACCATGAAGCCTAAGGTCAAATCATTTTCACAAGAAAGGAAATGGTGAGAACATCCTCGACAATATGATTAACCAAAACGATCATTACATGTAAAAGTTGGACCAATGACAAGAACCTGTGCTAAAAAGCTTACGGATGCATTAACATGTTTATTCAAGAGATTATGGATTCCAATGATGTCTATCATGTTTTGACCACATTTTTGCTGGTCAAGAAACTCCAAAATAAGGGACTGTTTATGGTCAAGTCAAGAATCATTTTATAATTCTTTATTCATGAAGAATACTAAAAACTGAATCACCTAGCCACTTCCAATATTCATGCACTATCTTAACTTTATTTATGTTCTCCAAAACTGTCTTTATCATCTTTTGCTTTCATTTCACGCAAATATTTTCTTTTAAATAAGTTTAATATCCTCTCCATAATGGGATCCAATGGAACCTTTCTTCTATCAAGTAGTAGTATTTTCTTTTGCTTTTAACTTCATCGTCTCTTTCCGGATTTAGTTACTCAATCCTGATTTTAGATTTCACTTTCCGGATTCCAATATGCGATGGCTTTATTGCTGGACAAACCGTTTTGGTTGTTCGTGTCTATTTAATAGCCTTTCAATCAAATTTACAGGTACAAGCATCACATTCATAATTCATTACAAGGATCGTCCACGTGCTTGTTTAGCTGGAAACAACTACAAAACTCAACAAAAGTACAATAAATTTAGGATAAGAGAGTTGATGCCTTTGTCTTGCGCCGGCACATGGGTTACATAACATCATAATTCGTAAATCGTAATGATACACGACACCCATTTCCCATCAAGCAAAAAATAAATAGAAAGATTAAATAAATATAATAAATCTCCATCGGAAAAAAAAAGAAATATACAAAGGGTTGGTGGCCGAAACTTTTGAGGGGAGGACATGAAATTGTGGTGGTGGTTGCAAGCAAGCAGGGTGGCAGCAGATATAGTTACAAAGGAACCAAATGAGCCATTGTTGTGGGTTTTTTTTTACGGTGCAGTTCCCCAAGTTGTTGTTGGTGTTTTACTACTCCACTCTGTTCTTCCTCTCACCACTTCCGCTCCATCCTGGAGTCGGAGCAAATGCTGACATTCCACATCCCCCGCTGTTGCCAGGTTACCGATATCGCAACCTGAAACTGCGGTGAGGGACTGAAGCACACTGTCTCTTCCGCATTCCCTCCGATACTCCAGAGTCATGCTTTTCAGCTTCTGCCTCTCCATTATTCCCACTGGAGCACTCTCCAGGATCCACCCAATGTACTTTACATTATTAACATGCTGGTTAACATCTAGGTCACTCCATCGCGGCTGGAAAAAAGTTCATTACCAAACCCATTAAGAGATTTATTGGCTGAGGATCAGTTTGTTGAAGCATACATCATATAAAATTCACTTACAGTGAGACCAGATCGAACATAGTCAGCAGTCTTGTCATCAAGTTTTGTTAACTTTCTGCTGTCCTCAGCAAGGACGGGATCAGAATTCACAAAATAAGGCTCTATTTCCCCTCGAACCTCTTCAGGAATCTTTGACAATCTCCTTGTCAATTTATTCATCATCACCCACACACTGCACAAGAATATTTTGTAATACCTCTGTCAAATATCTAACCCATTAGACCAAAAAATTCGTAATTATCCATAACATAAACTTGTGTAGTCTTTCTGAATTGATGATAGAGAAAACGCTATAGATAGAGAATATCGACATCAGGTATCTTATGATCACATGAAGAAAATGATAATAACTTGTAAACCAAAAGAAAAACTAACCTTGATGCTCGTGTTAAGGTTTCTCCAGTATTGCAATCCCGAACTAACCAATCACGACGCATACCATTCTTTCCAGACTGACTGACCCAGGTATCTACTTCAACAACATCTCCCCTATGAGGCAGATATTGAATTAGCATATGAGTTATGATGACTATAATATGCATGCACAGCAGGTAATCCAGGGTGCAAAAAGTAGCTATATAAGTATGTCTTTGCTAAAGTAAAAACAATATTAACTGAGCATTAAAAATGTAGAACTGTAATTGATTCATTGAAGAAAAGAAGCAAAATACTCATCATTTTCCCAAACCTGGTAAAAAAAGAAGTGAGAGTATGAACCTGCATGTTATGTTCAGGTTTTTGCAAGAGAATCTAAAAACTCTAAAAAGAAACCAGTGATTCTCGGCGAAGTTGTAAGTTACTGTTAAGAATGATAGCTTACCAAGTAGGATATTTATCAACCACCACCTGCATACGAGTGACGACCCATATCAAGTTCTTCTTAAACATCTCAGGGGTAGAACCAAATCCATCTCCCAGCAATCCAGCAGTCTTAACATGATTAAGCGCCGTTTCCTGTCATGAGCATAAGAGCTTATTCATGCATATCAATTAAACCAGTGACAACAGGTGAGAGTAAACATAATCAAGTGGTACCTGCAAATGATTCATAACGGTTTCTATAGATGCAGAGCGATCAGCACCTATTTCATATGACCTAATGGAGAAATTCTGACGGAACACAAGGCCATCCTGAACAATTCTCCCTATACCAAACGGATCCACCAGCATGTCAGAACGCCTGGGTTTCCAATCAAGCATCATCCACTGTTTCTCAGCTGCTAAGAAAATCGTTGTTATAGCAGCAAGAAGCATGCTCCAGTCAGGTAACTGGTTGATGAAAGTTCTTGGCGCAGGGTGTGACGCCTCGATATCAGTCCTTACGATATCTACAGAACCAGGCAAACCAACCTTTTTCCCATTAATCTTAGGTGGAGCCTGAGCGTTTGGTTTAACCTTCATCCTACCAGAGTTTGGTGCAGGATTGAGTCCAGCAAGATTCGTGGAACCAATCTTGTTGCCTTTTCCATTAGGATCAAGCGAAGAAGACGGTACAGGAAAGAATGAAGAAGTAGCAGAGGTGGCCACCATGACGAGGAGATGAAGCGTTCAAAGACACTGCCCACCAAAAAAAAAGATGGAAAAAAGTTAGCTCAAGAGAGTGATATATAATAAATGCTACATCTTTAGCTATTAGCAGGAGGATCTTCCTAAAGTAGATATACTATCCAATTAACAACAAAAATGGCAGAAGAGGAAAAGGGCTTCCATAAACGAACTAAAGGCACACACAAAAAAAAAAAAAACAATTCTTTTTGTTATGCGTAAATTCTCTAAGACAATCCAGTTCGGCCACTGAGACTCTAGGCCAATTCCAAACAGCAGAAAAAAAGCCTTTCAAAAAATTGTGAGCTGATGCTCAAAACTCGTCATTTTTATTGAAGGCATTCAACATTCGAGGTTTCCGAAGTTTTGGGGGAAAGCAATTTGATGCAGGTAAGAAACAAAAAAACCAGATCTGAAATCCAAAACAAAACTTGTATAGAAAATGTAATTCAAACATCATTCTTCAGTCAAACATCAATCAGATGACGAATCCAAACAAGCGATGAAGAGATTCAGAAATTACACAAAGAGAAGAACCCAAAAAAAAAAAAGAGAGAGAGAGAGAGATCTTACCAATATGAAGAGAGCAGATGAGAAATTATTGAAGAAATACAAAAAAACGTAACGCCAAATATCTGCAAAGTCTCCAAACCCTAAATTCTCCTTTCTTCGGCAGCCTCCCTGTCTCTCACGATCTCCTCTGCCTTTTGTTTAAAACTTTTTTTTTTTTTGTTTTGTGTTTTGTTTTTTTGTATTTTCCTTCTCAAATCCTATTGTTTTGCAATTCAATTTTTTGCGATTCTCAATACTTTTTCGGGAAAACAAAAAAAATACAAATTTTGTGATTAGAGAAAAAAAAAGCCGAGAAAAGTCTATAAGGTGGGTGAGAGAGAAATGTGGATATGAGATTAGCTTATAGGAGTATATATATATTGCCTTTCCTTCTTCTCGTAGTTTCAAAACAACAACACATTTTTATTTTTTCTATATTTCCCATTTTACCCCTTTCTTGTTACAAGATTGGTTAACCTAATTAGGCAAATTTATTAAATTTGTATTCACATGGACTACAAATTTCTTTGAATTTCATTTAGCACGCAAAACTTGATTGCTCTTCCGTGGAAATTTCCTTTGGACTTGGAAAATTTTGTAAGAAATCGGACCAATCGTATTTATAAATTGTAGGGAAAAAGACACATATCCGAATGTGTGAGCAAGCTTGTTGTCAATACTGGCACCGACGCCGTGTAATAATAAGTTGGGCAGAGACAACAAGGAACATGTGCATCAATCTCTATCTTACTTGTATTTATTAAGACTAACGAAAACAACATTTAAACTAAACCTAACACTAGCTTCTTTTTTTTTTTTTTAGTTTAACCATAAAAACTTTGTCGAACGTGTGAAGTCAGCCGATCGGATTTATAAATTTATTCCACCGAAAACATAATTTAAATTAACTTCTTAAAAACTTTACCACAAAAATTATAATAACACAAAAGCGACGTGTTTTTTACAAATCGAAACAATAGACAATCCAAATGTTTAAGAGAGTAGGTAGATAGACTGACTTCCCAACAAGAACATCACTTACCTGTTTGGAGAGATCAATTTTGCCTCGAGCTAGCATTTGGTATCGTATAATTCCAGAAGAGGCTAACAAGAAGAGATGATAAGCTATTAAGGACTACTAGGTTCATAGTATTGACTAAGATTGCCGATCTTTACGAGTACTAGTAGGTAGACCAAAAACTGGCGCATATAATACACCACCATATCCGTCTCTTGTTTACTCTATATTCGTGTGGTTTAGTTTGAAGATCATATATATGAGACACATGCATGAGATGATGGCAAGCAAATATCAATAGACGTTTGACAACACATATATTAAGGACATAGGTAGCTACCACGAGAGACGTGTGGGAGATGCACACTCGCACAAGCGTGATTAGCAGTCACCTAGATGCATATAATGATCACTGATGATTTGACTGGCATAATACGGTATAACGCTTTTTGGAGTATGTGATCTACTAGTACTTGCCCCTGTTCTAAAAATTCCCGCATAGCCCCGATTATTCCCCGCTTAATCGCTAGGCCCACCCTATCCGCTTTGATTAATGACTAATCCCCTAAAAAATCAGTAACCCGATTATTCTCTGCCTAATCCGATTACTTCCCGCCTAATCTTATATACCCCGATTATTTTTTAGATTGCAAGTATAAAAAAACTTTTTATTTTTGTTATTCAATCATTTGAATGGAGAGTTTGTGATGTTTTACAATAACTTGTGTTCAAATTTTAATAAAAATCATAAATTTGTAATAAAAATCATAAATTTTTACAATATTGGATTAATATATTTTAAAAATATTAAAATAACCCTAAAACTAATCTCCGATTAATCCCCAATTTTAATCCGATTTTTCGATTAATCGCTAGGCCCATGCCGAGCGCCCGACTAGTGCCTAGCGATTTTTCAAACAAGGGTACTTCCCAAAAGCCATATGGCCGGCTTCAATAGAGAGGGGTGCCTTAAGCGGAACGTCCCTACAATTCTAAAATGAGCCATGAGAGTAGCAGCCTATTAGTCATCGTATACGCTACATGCCTACAAGAGAGGAGGACCCATTGAGAAAATACAGAAGACAGATCAGACTAAATCACAATAAACTTAATTTATTTTGACTATATATGTTTGTCTATTTCGTCATTGATGATATTGCTTAATCTTTGATTATTATTAATTTATCATATTGGACTCTTTAATCTGCTTGGAGACGAGTGAAAGAATTATTAAGTTAGGAGAAAACAGTCGCGTTGATAATTCCGCTTTCATTTTGAATATTTATTGTATTTTGTCTGATTTGCTTTACATTAAAAGTCTTAATTAAATAAACAAAAGATGATTTTAAAACCGTTAGTTGCATTTGCATATTTAATTTTTTTTTATTCATAAAGTAACATATTTGTTTCATTCATGATTTAGTATGCAAATTTGTTCCTTCGTTATCTATTTATTCCTAAGATATAAATTAAATAAGAACTAAACTCCAATTAATTATATAAAACTTGTTTAATTTCTTTTCGGTTAATTAGTATCTATAGAAAATAATATATATTTTATTTATCCCAAACTATAAATAATAATCATAATTCGAAATTCATAATAAATATTAGACATTTGATTAATATGGATAGTGCTGCAATCAGGAATGAATGAGGAAGCAAAAGATAAGGTCGAAACAGTAGAAAATACACTCTCTTAGTCTTAACTTCTTCTTCTTCTTCTTCTCCTATCTTTGAAAATGGCGATGACTCCGGTCGCGTCATCATCTCCAGTGTCAACGTGCAGACTCTTTCGCTGCAATCTCCTCCCCGATCTCTTACCTAAGCCTCTGTTTCTTTCCCTCCCCAAACGAAACAGAAGTGCGTCGTGCCGCTTCACTGTACGTGCCTCCGCGAATGCTACCGTCGAATCCCCAAACGGTGTCCCTGCCTCGACACCAGAGACGGAGAGCACCTCCTATGGCCGACAGTTTTTCCCTTTGGCCGCAGTTGTTGGCCAGGTCAGAGAATTTGCAATTTGATTTCTGTATGTTGCAGAATTGTACTCAATTTGGATCAATTTTCTCTATCATTTAATGTATATTTGCATCATTAATAGAAATGGTTTAATTTAGTTGGATTGGGTATAAGAAAAAGCATCAATGTTTCATCAGTGAACTGTGTTATGGGACTTTTTACATAAATTTGTTTAACTTCCTTAGATGCAAAAGTCTCACAGGGTATATAATTTGTTTGCTTTAACTAATGTTGTTTGTAGGAAGGCATCAAAACTGCTCTTTTACTTGGCGCTGTTGATCGTGAAATCGGAGGGATTGCTATCTCAGGTCGTAGAGGCACTGCAAAAACAGTCATGGCACGAGGGCTACATGAAATCATTCCTCCTATAGAAGTTGTTGTAGGCTCAATATCAAATGCTGACCCAGCTTGCCCTGATGAGTAAGATTCTTACAAGCTGAAACAGAACTGTTTTTTCTTCTTCTTTTATTTACATTCTCTTCTCAATTCATACACTGCTGGCTTGTATCCATATGATACATTAGGTGGGAAGACGACTTAGATGAGCGAATAGAGTACAATGCTGATAATACCATTAAGACTGAGATTGTCAAATCTCCTTTCATTCAGGTACACTTAGTTTTAGGAGCCCCTACAACCTTTATGAGACTGTTTTCTTAATACTTAGGCTTTTCTGTCATTTGTATTACACAGATTCCTCTAGGTGTCACAGAAGATAGACTCATTGGGTCTGTTGATGTTGAGGAGTCTGTGAAAAGGGGGACAACTGTTTTCCAACCTGGTCTTTTGGCTGAAGCCCATAGAGGAGTGTTGTATGTTGATGAAATAAATCTCTTAGATGAGGGAATTAGTAATTTGCTTCTCAATGTATTGACGGATGGTGTTAATATAGTTGAAAGAGAAGGAATCAGCTTTAGGCACCCGTGCAAACCACTTTTAATTGCAACTTATAACCCTGAAGAAGGTGCTGTTCGAGAGCACTTGCTAGACCGTGTTGCCATTAATTTAAGGTATTGCTGGAGTTTATGAATCAAGTCTGAAAATTATGGTCTGTTTCTTTTGGGCAATTCTCAGTCCTTTCTCTTTTTACATCACGATGTTAACATTTGCAGTGCAGACCTTCCTATGAGTTTTGAAGATCGCGTCGCAGCAGTTGGAATTGCCACACAGTTTCAGGAACGCTGTAATGAGGTTTTTAGAATGGTAAATGAAGAGACAGAGACAGCAAAGACGCAGGTATCTTCAAATGAATTAAGTGAAAAAGGGCCAGTACAATGCCCCATTAGGAAAAATTGGATGGGATGCTATGCTTCTCCTCCCACTTTTCTCGGTCATAATCCAGTTTTCTCTGACTGCAGATCATATTGGCTAGAGAATATTTGAAAGATGTCAAGATAAGTAGAGAGCAATTGAAGTATCTGGTTTTGGAAGCTGTCCGAGGTGGTGTTCAGGTATTCAGCAAAAATTCTTTAAGTAATTTTGTGTTTAAGGAATAATTACACTATAGTAACGTATTCCTGGAAGAATAAGTAAACACGAAAAGAAAGGACAAGATGCATGCAAGATAATGTCACGATTATAGAATTCAACTAGTATAGTCCTTAAACAGGAATGCAAGAAATGGCTCACTACAGGCAGAAAGATACATTTAGATAGTGTTGTTTTGATTTAGAAACAAAACTGGATAAAGAAGGGCTTGGCATCAAGTGCTTTTGTTGCGCTGTTGATTGTAATATTTCACCATGTTATGATCATATCACCTATAATTATATGTCTGTGTTTGGAGTACTTGGTAGTTAATTCTCATGGCTTATTTATTGTCGATGATTACCTGGAAATCGTTCAATACTGTTTTCTCAAATAACAAATTTATGATACAGGGACACCGCGCCGAATTGTATGCAGCTCGTGTGGCAAAGTGTTTAGCTGCAATTGAAGGGCGAGAAAAAGTCACAATTGATGACCTCAGAAAGGCCGTTAAGTACTCTTCTCTAGCTCATTCATTTTTGTTTTCTTTCCCAGAACGATCAAGCAAGTCATAAACTTATCTAGTTATATGTTTTCTGGCAAAAACATTTTCTCGCTAGAATTAGTCATTAGGGTTTAAATTTAATGTTTACTTTCACTTTCCTTGTATTGCCTTTGTCTATAATTGAACATCTTAATAGAAATTTTCATGAGCAGTGTAGAATGACAATCTGTAATGATTCGGATGGAGTATTTACGACATCCTCCAGTTATTAATTAGCAAATGTTGTCCATTTTTTCAATAGGTTGAGCTGGTCATTCTTCCTCGTTCATCACTAGATGAGACTCCTCCACCTGAACAACAAAACCAACCGCCACCTCCGCCACCTCCTCCACAAAATAGCGAATCTGGAGAAGAAGAAAATGAAGAAGAACAAGAAGAAGAAGAGGTCAGTGGATGCGGTACACATTATTGTCTCTCGTTGCACACAAACAAGGTTCTCTTAAGTATAAATCATTAACCAATGTAGGATGAAAGCAATGAAGAAAATGAAAATGAGCAGCAACAAGACCAAATACCTGACGAGTTTATATTTGACGCTGAGGGCGGTCTGGTGGATGAAAAACTCCTCTTCTTTGCTCAACAAGCCCAGAAACGTCGGGGGAAAGCCGGCAGAGCGAAGAATGTCATATTCTCAGAAGATAGAGGACGCTATATAAAGCCAATGCTTCCAAAGGTTTGCCCTTAACAAATTTCCAGGCTCCCAAACATGCATAGTCCTTAACAAATTTTACTTTGACAGGGTCCAGTAAAAAGATTAGCTGTGGATGCAACCCTTAGAGCAGCTGCACCATACCAGAAATTGCGCAGAGAGAAGGATATTACAGGAACTAGGAAAGTCTTTGTTGAGAAGACAGATATGAGGGCCAAAAGAATGGCTAGGAAAGCTGGAGCCCTGGTACTGAACCTTGTCCATACATTCTTCTAAAAGACTGTATATAAACAGTTTCCTTGATACAACATTATTCTCACTTATACTTTAAACACAAAGATGTTTGGCATGATAAATTTGGCAGTTTCCTTGATAGAAGCTTCAGTGAAAACATAGATAATATTACCATTGTTTTATGGCAGGTTATCTTTGTGGTTGATGCAAGTGGCAGTATGGCATTGAATCGTATGCAAAACGCCAAAGGTGCTGCACTCAAACTACTGGCAGAGAGCTATACTAGTAGGGATCAGGTAAAGGTTACCTTTTTTGAATAGTAAACGTGCTTGTTGCTAGTTTGAATGAATTCGTTGGGCCTTCGGATGAGACTCATACACCATTAATTGGTTTAGGTTTCGATTATTCCTTTCCGAGGAGATGCTGCGGAAGTGCTCTTGCCCCCTTCTAGATCAATTGCAATGGCAAGGAATCGTCTTGAGAGACTTCCTTGTGGTGGTGGTTCTCCTCTTGCCCATGGTTTAACAACGGTATGTCAAATATTATGGTGTTGTTAGTATGATAACTACTAAAGTGGTCTTAAAATCACTATTATGGGTCAGCATAATAATAACAGTAATAGCTATGTTCATATCAGGCTGTAAGAGTTGGACTTAACGCAGAGAAGAGTGGTGATGTCGGGCGAATAATGATTGTTGCGATAACCGATGGTCGAGCCAACATTACACTGAAAAGATCAACTGATCCAGACTCTATTGCCCCAGATGCTCCTAGACCCACGTCCAAAGAATTGAAGGTAAACAGCTTCTAACGAAAAACATAAAGCAAAACAAGCTCTTTGTGCTTGAACATGGATATAAGAAGGCAGATGCAGTGATTAAAAATGCGGGTGTTGTGTTGTTTAGGATGAGATTCTGGAAGTTGCTGGGAAGATATACAAGGCAGGGATGTCTCTTCTAGTGATTGATACTGAGAACAAGTTTGTTTCAACTGGTTTTGCAAAGGAGATCGCAAGAGTTGCTCAAGGTTTGGTCTCTGCAATTGAGTTTGAGATATATTTTTGTTATATTAAAGCAGACAATAACAACAATTGTGTTTTGATTGTTCTTCCTCGTAGGAAAATACTATTACTTGCCAAATGCTTCGGACGCTGTCATCTCGGCCACCACGAGGGATGCACTATCTGATCTGAAGAATTCTTGACCTCATCTAGTCTGCAATACCATGAGTCTGGATCAAAGTGTATATTCTAATTGTGCAACACATTTCAGTCACTAAAACTAAACATGAAGTTTATAAGAAAAGAAATTTTGTTTTAACATACTCTTCCTAAGAATTTCCGATTTTATTCCGTTGGTGGGTAATTGACGACTGATTTGATGATGCTTTAGTGACAGATCACTGTTTGTACTTTGTACACTAAGAAGAAGATGATGAAGCTTCAATTCACAATTGACTGAAGAATAAGATTGCCGGTATAATCCCGGTTTGTACTAACCATACTCTAATACTATTTGGTGGTTTAATTTAACGGCGGACAAACCGGCCTGGACCGAAATAAAAGAAAACCGGAGTTGGCTACCTGGAGCTGGAGGAGAGAAGAGTTGTGCAGTAGGAACAGCTTTCCGAGAGAAATGAAATCTCTCTGCTTCATTTCTTCTTCTACAGCTCCATTGATTCGTTCGCCTCCATTTCTTCCTCTTAATCGAACAAGCTTGAATCGATTTACCCTCAAGATTCAATCTTCTCTCTACTTATCCCATCCAACAAGATGCAGTATTTCAAACCCCTCGAGCTCGGAGGAATCGTTGGATTCCAATGATGGAATGTCTCGGGCATCGATCAGTGTCTTCGGAGGAACTTCGCTTAACAATCTAAAGATGCAAGTGGGCAGTCCAATTTCGCTGCATTCAATCAACCCATTAGCTAAGCTGAGTTTGAGTGATCAAGCATTTCTTCTCTTGGCCTTCATCGTTTGCACGGTAAAAGGAGTTGGCTCGTGTTTTGTTTTGACCATTTTTGTTGATTCATTGATAAAGGCTTAGACTTTTTGATCTCTTGATGGTCCTCTGTTACAGACTTCAGTGGCTTTTACAAGTCTTGTGATTGCAGCTATTCCTACACTTTTGGTAAGTCTCCACATTTGTCTCAATCCTTTTGCTTTAGCTTTCTCTCCCCTGTAATCACTTATTTTAAAACTGTTTCTAGTAAATGGATTGAGTATTTGTAATATGCTATCAACAATCGACATTTTTCCTTTCCAAAATTCAGTGAGAAACTATGACATGAGTGTAGTCCTTTGCTTTAAATTTCTACTCCACACTTGCTGGTGGCACCAACTGATAGGATAAAAGGCTAATGAGCAACGCATGAGTACTCTAACAGATTAAAGATTGAACTAAAACCTTTAATTGTTGAATTCCACACTGTACTCTTCTTTATATGTGTCCTAGATTTGGTTCAGCTATATGATTGTTTCTTTTTAGGATTGGGCTTAACTCAACAAAGCTTGGTGAATTTTTCAGTTCATTATGTATCTTTGTTCTTGGATTGCTATCTATGTCCTATATTTACTTGCACACCTTCAGGCCATGGGTAGAGCTGCGACTTCCTTTGCCAAGTTAGCCGACACAGCTCGCAAAGAACTCCCTAGTACATTGGCAGCCCTAAGGCTCTCCGGCATGGAAATAAGCGATCTTACTCTAGAATTGAGCGATTTAAGGTGATCACTAAAAGTCTTTTCTTTTCTTTCTTCCGAGTCACCTATTAATTTATCTCTCTGGAATAACAAAATTTGTCGAAATCATTACTATGCGATGTAAATGGTTTCAGCCAAGATCTAGCTGATGGTATAAACAAATCAGCTAAAGCGGTTCAAGCAGCTGAAGCTGGAATCAAACAGATTGGAACACTTGCACAACAGCAAACTCTCTGTAAGCTTCTAATTAATCTTTATGATTATTGGTATTAAAAGCTTCTGTTAATGGTGGCAACATTTCACTGTGGAAAAAAAAAAAACGGAAATTATGATCTGATGGTGACCTTGATCTTGTGAGTCAGCAATGATTGAAGAGAGAGCAAATTTACCAGAAATATCACTGCAACCTGTTGTGGCTGGTGCGGCAGAAAAGACTTCTCACGCACTCGGCAGTGCAACTAAGAGACTAATGAACATTATAACCGGAGGAAACAAGGATGAGGATTTAGACGTTTAGAAGCTTTCACTTGGAGTGTTGTTTTCTTCTTCTTCTTTTTGTCCGTCTTTGTTTAAAGGAATCAGTACAAGGTACCAAAGTCCATTTAGGGAAACATAGAATCTATGAACAAGACATTTGGTAGAATTTGGTATATGTATGAAACCTGATGTGTATGACACAAAAAAAAAAAGAAATTTACTTCACCTTAAACTTTCTCCTTATAAATTAATAACACGAGAGATCGAAGACGAAAGAGAAAGTAGAGAGGGTTAGCCATTTTAAGACACAACACCAGATGAATTATTTACTTATCAAGCCGACCAAAAAAAAAACAAAATTATTCTTAAAAGTGAAAGATGGTAACAGTGAGATGGGATTGGGCCAAAAGTATAGGCCCAAAGAAGTGAAAATTAGAAATAATGAATCCCTTTGTTTGACAGAGAAGCTTTATCCTCTCTTCTTCGTCTTCATCCGCCATCATCACCAGTTTCTCTCTCTCTCTAAAAATCTTCTTTAACGGCCCTTGAATCAATCAATGGTCAGCAGACTTAGCTATCGAATATAGGCTAAGAACGAGCATGTCTTCTTGTCTTCTTCCTCAGTTCAAGTGCCCACCTGATTCTTTCTCTATTCACTTCCGAACCTCTTTCTGCGCCCGTTAGTATTTCCTTCTCTATCTCTCATTCACATTCTCTCAGGTCCAATTTTATACTGTTCTTAAAGCATATGTTAGCTACTTCAATTCCAGATTATGAAATTTTTGTAGACCCAATTAACCAATTCTTTGATTATGAAATTCCTTGAATTAGCCAATATCTAGTTGTTCCTAGTGTTATAGAAAGGAACACAATTTTCAGGAATGTGCACTATGTCATCCTAATCAATGTGATATTCACAATTTTTTTGGATGTGATGTGATGTGATGTGACACACTTTTGTTGGAACGTGCAGCAAAACACAATAAGGGTTCAGTCTTCTTCCAACCGCAATGTGCAGTATCCACTTCACCCGCTTTATTAACTTCTATGCTTGATGTGGCAAAGCTTAGACTACCCTCTTTCGATACTGATTCAGATTCCCGAATATCAGACAGGCAATGGACTTATACAAGGACCGATGGTCCTTCCACTGAGGTAACTAATATTTGTATTTTTCCATGTTACATCAGTCTAATAATGGTTCCCAAAGCTTCAATGAGATTGTTGTTCATATATTTTCTATGCAATCACTGTGTGTTCATTGGCTTGATAGTGAATGATTAAGATTAGTTCGTTTAGTTATTTGTATCAGAGTAGTGACTATTATTCCCACACGCACAAACAAAAGTTATTCTTTGTATTTTGTAGCTGTAGCTGCTGTAATGTGAAGTCCACTTGATAAGTTCCTTGTATTTGTAGGCAAAGTATTTAGAAGCTTTAGCCTCTGAGACACTTCTCACAAGTGATGAAGCCGTAGTTGTAGCTGCAGCAGCTGAAGCAGTCGCCCTTGCAAGAGCTGCTGTCAAAGTTGCGAAAGATGCAACATTATTTAAGAACAGTAACAACACAAACCTATTAATTTCATCAACTGCCGACAAACGCTCCAAGTGGGACCAGTTTACTGAGAAGGAACGTGCTGGCATATTGGGACATCTCGCGGTTTCGGACAATGGAATCGTGAGTGATAAAATCACTGCACCTGCCTCTAACAAAGAGTCGCCTGGTGATTTAGAATCCGAAAAACAAGAAGAAGTTGAGCTTCTGGAGGAGCAACCTTCAGTGAGTTTAGCTGTGAGATCTACACGCCAAACTGAAAGGAAAGCTCGGAGGGCAAAAGGGTTAGAGAAAACTGCATCAGGTATTCCCTCTGTGAAGACTGGTTCGAACCCTAGAAAGAAACGTCTTGTTGCGCAAGAAGTTGACCATAATGATCCTTTGCGTTATCTAAGAATGACAACAAGCAGTTCCAAGCTTCTCACTGTCAGAGAAGAACATGAGCTGTCGGCAGGAATACAGGTTTGCCACCAATATTCCAAATTCTAAACTAACCACTTCCCCTTCTCTACATCGCGTCTAAAACATCACAAAAAAACTTCTAGGTGAAAATGATGGTTACAAAATCGTTAGATGTTTGAGAATGATGAAATTAGTGGTTAGATGGTAGAATCCAAGATCGCTTCTTTGTGCTGTCTAACCAATATATCATCTGAAGTTCTATGAAAGCTAATTATCCTGACATGCTTGGTTTAAATTGAAATTTTCACCTTTTTTTGTTCTTATTATGGAGCCTTTCCACATGTTTAGCATTGATAGATGATGGGAAACAGATGTTCAGCTTCGGAAGAATCAACATTAATTAATGATCAATTTCTATTTTGAACTTTATTTCTTCTTCTCTGTAATTTTCTTATCTTTCTTTATTGTGGTTTCTCTTGATCACACACTTTGGTTTCTTTGTTTAGGACCTTCTGAAGTTAGAAAGACTTCAAACAGAGCTTACAGAGCGTTGTGGACGTCAGCCAACCTTTGCGCAGTGGGCTTCTGCTGCTGGAGTCGATCAAAAATCATTAAGGAAACGTATACATCATGGTACACTATGCAAAGACAAAATGATTAAAAGCAACATTCGACTTGTTATTTCGATTGCAAAGAATTATCAAGGAGCTGGGATGAACCTCCAAGATCTTGTCCAGGTTTGAGCTTTTCTCTCCTTATTTTTTGTGATAATTACATCTGTTATTACCATACTGATGAAAGTGATAGACATTGAACACCTTGCTAACAGAAGTTATGGTGAAGTATTATCTTGTTTTAAAAAATCTCAAAATGGTCACAGGAAGGGTGCAGAGGGCTTGTGAGGGGAGCAGAGAAGTTTGATGCTACAAAGGGTTTTAAATTTTCAACTTACGCGCATTGGTGGATCAAGCAAGCAGTGCGGAAGTCTCTCTCTGATCAGTCCAGAATGATAAGATTGCCTGTAAGTCATCCCAGATGTTTTTCTTTTTCACTTGTTTAAACAACGGTTTGGGATTATGCCTCAAAATTTAATGGGATGATTGGCAGTTTCACATGGTGGAAGCAACATATCGGGTGAAAGAGGCACGAAAGCAACTGTACAGTGAAACCGGTAAGCACCCAAAGAACGAAGAAATTGCAGAGGCAACAGGGCTATCGATGAAGAGGCTCATGGCGGTTCTACTCTCTCCTAAACCACCGAGGTCGCTAGACCAGAAAATCGGGATGAATCAAAACCTCAAACCTTCGGTTTGTACCTCCTGACACAGCATACAAGATAGTCTTGTTGTTTGTTTAAAAATAGTAAAAAAGTGAGATGGGTGTGTAAAAAAATGCAGGAAGTGATAGCAGATCCAGAAGCAGTAACGTCAGAAGATATACTGATAAAGGAGTTCATGAGGCAGGACTTGGACAAAGTGTTGGACTCGTTGGGAACGAGGGAGAAGCAAGTGATACGTTGGAGATTTGGGATGGAGGATGGGAGAATGAAGACGTTGCAAGAGATAGGAGAGATGATGGGAGTGAGCAGGGAGAGAGTGAGGCAGATAGAGTCGTCTGCATTCAGGAAACTAAAGAACAAGAAGAGAAGCAACCATTTGCAGCAATACTTGGTCGCACAATCATAATTATTTTTTCTTTCAAAATGGAATGTTTTGTGCATAGAACCCACCCACCCACCCACCCACCTGAGCATAACAAGCAGTAAATTATTATTTTTAGCATTTACTACTATTCTTGAGAAATATTACTAAATCGTAAAAATTATTCACATTTATCCACAAGATTTTTTAACATGCAAATTGCTAAATCAAAACAAAATAATTTGGAAAAAAATAAAAATGGAAAGACTAGAGATATTTGGAGAAAACAAGCGCCTAGGACAAAAATGTGGGTAGAGGAGGAGGCGGCTTCGTTCACACACCACACGACGGAACACTCTCTTCCAAGCCTTATCCAAAGCAAAGCATATTTTTCTTAAATATCTTCTTCTCCGTCTCTGTCTCTCTTCTTCCCGCGGAGCTTTCAATCTTTGCTTGGTAACATCGTCTCTCTCTCTCTCTCTCTCTCGCTAACTCTGATATCAAATTATCTATCACAATTAGTCTTTTCAACACCCAAAATCGCAATCTTTAGCTTTATTCTGTTTTTCCTGGTTTCCGAATTGTCGTCGATTTCCATGTCTATGAGCTGAAATCACAATTTTTTCAAATAATCAATTTTTTGGGGTTTGTTCATGATTTGTTCTGGAATAAAATAGAAAGTAATGTGCGAACCGGGCCTTGTGGCCTAGTGGTAAAGGGGTCACAGCTGTGACTTCCGCCACCGGGGTTCAAGGCACGGCCACTGCCAGGTTTACATAGAGGAATTGCCAGCCTCGTGGGATTAGTCTTTGGGCCTAGGAAGCCTTTTGGAGACCCGCGGTTATTCAAAAAAAAAAAAAAAAAAGTAATGTGCGAATTATGTAAACTCACAGGTATTGGCTTGGGGAAGATTAGAGAGTAAAGCTAATGGCAGTAGCTACACATTGTTTCACTTCACCTTGTCATGGCCGTATTCGATTCTTCTCAAGTGATGATGGTAGGCTTGGCATTACAAGAAAGAGGATCAATGGCACTTTCTTGCTCAAGATTTTACCTCCAATCCAAAATGCTGGGGGGAGATCCTCACGCCCTATATCTGCATTCAGGTCAGGATTCTCTAAGGTAATCTCAATCATTCCAGGTCTTGTGTTTCTATACAAATTTGTTATTTCGATCATCTCATTGCTTTTGATCATGTCAGGGGATATTTGACATTGTGGCATTACCATCAAAAAACGAACTCAAGGAGCTGACCACTCCACTCTTGCTAAAACTCGTGGGTGTTTTAGCCTGCGCCTTCCTCATTGTTCCATCTGCAGACGCAGTTGATGCACTTAAGACTTGTGCATGCTTATTGAAGGGATGCAGGTAACTTTCCTTCGTTTGGATTCTCCATATATAGTGCTTCCCACCAAAACCGGTTTTATTGTCATTGTGGGAAAATATTGTGATCATATATATGTTTTCAATTGTATGCCCCCATACATACCGCTTCAATTGTGCCGGTTGTTTGTGCATCTAGATGAAGTTAGTGTCCGTCTATGTTAGAGCTGATTTGAATTGATGACATCTTTCTGATTTTTTGCCAAAATTTTATATATTTCTCTCATTGTCTGACCATATGGAAGCCAAATTATCTGTTAGGATAGAACTCGCAAAGTGCATTGCCAACCCTGCCTGCGCAGCCAATGTCGCGTGCCTCCAGACTTGTAATAACCGTCCAGATGAAACCGAGTGCCAGGTTAAAAGTTTATTTTGTGTAGCATTTTGAGGCAGAGATATTGCTTTCTTATTGGAGACGAGACCAATGATTTTGTTTAAAAATATGCGCTGATTTCAGATCAAATGCGGGGATCTTTTTGAAAACAGTGTAGTTGATGAGTTCAACGAGTGTGCTGTGTCGAGAAAAAAGTGTGTTCCTAGAAAATCTGATCTCGGAGAATTTCCTGCCCCAGACCCTTCTGTTCTTGTCCAGAACTTCAACATCTCGGACTTTAACGGGAAGTGGTACATTACAAGTGGCTTGAATCCAACCTTTGATGCCTTCGACTGCCAGGTGCATGAGTTCCACACAGAAGGTGACAACAAGCTTGTTGGAAACATCTCCTGGAGAATAAAGACCCTAGACAGTGGATTCTTTACTAGGTCAGCTGTACAAAAATTCGTGCAAGACCCTAACCAACCTGGTGTTCTCTACAATCATGACAACGAGTACCTCCACTATCAAGATGACTGGTAATAACATCTTGTATGCACCCACAAGGGAAATGTCTTGCTTCTCTTCTTTGGCCTTACAAGTTTTCATATGATTCTTGCAGGTATATCCTGTCTTCAAAGATAGAGAATAAACCTGACGACTATATATTTGTATACTACCGTGGACGAAACGATGCTTGGGATGGATATGGTGGTGCAGTTGTATACACGAGAAGTTCTGTATTACCCAATAGCATTATACCAGAACTAGAAAAGGCAGCAAAAAGCATAGGCAGAGACTTCAGTACATTCATTAGAACAGATAACACATGTGGTCCTGAACCTCCACTGGTAGAAAGAATTGAGAAGACAGTAGAAGAAGGGGAAAGGATAATCGTAAAAGAGGTTGAAGAGATAGAAGAGGAAGTAGAGAAGGAAGTGGAGAAAGTTGGTAAGACTGAGATGACTTTGTTCCAGAGATTGGCTGAAGGATTTAACGAACTGAAGCAAGACGAGGAGAATTTCGTGAGAGAGTTCAGTAAAGAAGAGATGGAATTTTTGGATGAGATCAAAATGGAAGCAAGTGAGATTGAAAAATTGTTTGGTAAAGCTTTGCCAATTAGGAAGGTCAGGTAGAACCAAGAACCACCATTGTTGTCCAGACTATATTATACATACTGTGTTCAGTTCATATAAAGTAATATTTTTGTACACATTCATCATTCTATAACAATTGGATACAAAACATCCTTTGAGCGAAACAAACCACAATTGGTAAACACTAAACATAGTATCTCAAGAAGAAGAGCTGAAACTAGTATGGTTAACATAGTATCTCAAGAAGAGCTGAAACTGTGATCAAGAGGATTAAGACAATTTTTGTAAAAAGCATTCATCATTTCATTAAAAATGGATACAGGAAGACAAAGGGATTAAGACATTTTTTCAGCACACAAAAGGATTAAGACATCCAATGGGCGAAAACAAACCACAAGGAGTGAACATAGTAAGCATCTCAAGAAGAGCTGAAACTGGTAATGATGGGGATGACAACAATGAGAATGATCAAAAGCAGCACAATGATACCAATGCACATCCATTTCCTGCTGTTTCTCTGATGATTCTTTGCAGTCTTCAGCTCATTAGCCCCATCCGCCACGTAATGGCTCGCATTTATCACATGATGCTCAATCTCATCCATCTGTTCACCTTGCGATTCAACCATCACAGCCATATCAAGAAACACTTGGTGAAGCTCCAACAGACTCTTCTCAATCTCCTTTGCTGCATCATACCTGTCTTGAATCTCAACCACAGTTTCCAAGATTTTTCCTTTACCATGTTCCTGGATTGCTCGCGTGAGAAACTCTTCACCTCCAGCGTTATCAGTGATGATCTTCTCAATCATCGCTTCATCAGGATGTTCTCCAGTCACAGTGAAGTACCTTCTCTCAACAGCGTCCTTGTACTCACTCATCATCTTTTGCCTCAGCCCTTGAAACTCCATCATCACTTCCTTCAACTTCTTCCTCAGCCCGTTAGTCACAGCGGTTCTGCTCCTGTAAACCGGAGTCCCAGAGAGCCTCTTAATCTCCTTGTTGGCTTTATCCATCTCTTCCAGCTTCGACTTTATGGATTTTGCTTTCCTCAGACCAGACACAATCTCATTAGAGATCTTGTTACGAAGAGACTTCACAGACTCTGCCTTGTGCACACCTTTACTCTCTTCGTTGTACTGCTCGATGCGAGCCAGTGTCTCACTAATCAAACCCATCTCTGCTTTCACATACTCTGCTTCCTCTAAGAAAGATGACAGATTCTCATCCATCTTGTCTGCTTTCGTCGAAGCCATCTCAAGATCAAAGTCAGGTCCTGCTTCCATATCCTTCATCGCTGCTTTTTTCAAGTCAACGTAACTCATAAACGATTTCGTCATCAAGTCGTTCATCTTTTTCACCTGAAAGTCAACAGTTTTACAAGAATCAGACACAATTGAGAAAGTAACAGATCAAAAACGAGAGAAATCAAACATACTCTTGTGCTTTGTGTGTTGTAGATCCAGATTTTCTGCCCAGAATGTGAGAGAGAAGTGTGAAGTGAAAGCGATTATGTGAATGTGGTAAAGATGAGAGAAAAGCTTTCTAATAATATAAGAAGACTTTAGGAAAAAGAGCCGTTACTGTGATTTCTTCTCTCCCCCCAACGGCTATATTTTGGCCATGTATCCGTTATCGTCCATTTGTCTCTGTTTCTGTTTCTTCAAATCTTTATTTTATTTCTATTTTTAAATTGTGTTTTTTTCTTTCGTAACGATTTCGAAACTGAGAAAGAATACAGGGACTAAACTGTAATTAGATTTATGTACGTTTCAGTGCCGACTTGTGTGTGATTGAGACAGTTTTAAGGATTTCGAAATTTAGAAGAAAATATAGGGGCTAAGTTGTAATTACGTATATTAATTACATCGCTTTTGTCGACAACTTAAATTCCACCTGTCAGGCACCATTGGTGACAATTTACGAAAGTAAAGAAGAGGTGGTGGTGGTGTTAGCTGCACTTTTGTTACCATTTATACAAAAATTGTGGTTCTTGTGTTTTGCTGTTCATGTTGGAAAACTTATGGTATAATTTTTTCTGGTTACGTTTCATACACCTTAGTTGAACCATTCAAATTATTAGGATTTTTTCAAATAAAAAGATTTCATTCAAATTTTGTATATATGTAAACGACTCTTCAATCAAATATCTCCACTAGTTTCTTGATCTCTAAACTTGGAGACTAATCAGTTTTTTTTTCCCTCAAATATCTACAAAATTGTTTCAATATCGTAGACAAATTTAAAAAATACAATGTCCATCATATCCCTATATAATGTCCACAATTCAATATTTATTTTGTAACGTTTGAACATGGTTTAAAAAAAAAAAAAAAAAACTTTTTAAAAAATTGTGCCAGTACATCATTAGAACGTTAGTATGTACTAAAAATAGTTTACTGAAAAATATAAATACTATTACGTAACGTTTGTTTTATAGTAAAATAAATTTGTTACGATTGTTTTGTCTATTCAACACTCGTCACATTTGTTACGTTTGTTTTGTTTGAATTTTTTGTCTTAATTCTAACTAAAAGGTTGTTTTGTTTTTTTTCTATTACAAAAAGTAAATTTGTTTTTTTTTTTTTTTATAACACAGTATCCAGATCACACAGTGATTTGACTAGCCCACTGGGCCTAAGCTCACTTCACAGTTTTAAGTCTCCACTTAAGGGCCCCCTGATAAACTGGTGGTCTGGGGTGCCTGAGCAAGTCCGCATGTAAATTCCCAGGTGGCCACAGGAGTGAGAAAGCGAAACTGCGTTTGGGGAGGATCGATCCCTGGCCTAGACCAACAGGGCGATCCTTCCAACCAAACGAGAACCACTCGCCCACCACCATGTGGTTAAGTAAATTTGTTTACCGACAAAAAATATATTACAAAACGATTGTTTTACACTGAAATAAATTTGTTTCGATTGTTTTGTCTGTTTAACACTAATCAGATTTGTTACGTTTGTTGTGTTTAAATAGTTTGTTTACACATAGACTATCCCACAACAATTTACCTCTCTTGGAACGTTCTACTTATTGTCGTGAATCGAAAAAAACTTGTGCATTATGGAATTGAGGGGGTTAAATGTATACTAAAAAACTAAAAGGCTAATCTCTAATTCTTTTGTTAAAGAGGTGGCCAATCTCCAAAAATATATAAAGTTCATAAAAAGGTTAAAGGAGAGAGTTGTGGTGGAGAGTGTGAGACCCACGTGGGTGATGTGTTGGCAAACTACCTTCCTTAAAACCCAAATCCATCTATCCATTTATTACTAGTTTTCTTCTGACCGACTAAAGCTGATGTCGCGAATCCACCGTTAGATCTTAAAATGGCCAAATCCAAATTGAACGGTCAAGATCACTTAACGAAAAGGAAAACAGTTTCTTGTCCAGAAATGTCTTACCTTTAGGCCTTTTCTCTTTCCTTTTCACTTTTTTTTTTTTATAAATTTTCTCGTGGAAGCCAAATCTTTCTGAGAAATAAAAAACGAAACTTCGCTGGCGACTAAAGATTGCTGAGAAGACACGTCGTCTCTGTGAGAACTTTTCTTTTTCTTCTGGTAAATTCTGGAGAGAGAGATATTGTATTTTTCTTCGTTCGGAGGTAGATTGAATAGAGAAGAATTATGGCGGAAGTGATTAGCAAAACGAGTTTGTTCACCGGAGCTTGTGGGAATCATCATCACCGTGTTGATGATTTCTCTTTGTCCCCGGTGAGTTTTGGTGGGTTTGGTCTGAAAAAGAGTTTCTCTTGTCTGAAGCTGAAGAATCAAAAGCCTCTTAGAAGTGAATTCCATGGAAAACAGATCGTTTTCGGTGATGCTCAAGACGAGAGCTTCAGAAGGAGCTTCCGATCATCAGCCATCACAGCTCAGGTAAATTTGATTTCTTGTGTTTTCATTTTCGTTTGTCCCAAATTTTACATGCGAGATCTAATTAGAAAGATCTTGAGAGCTAATTGTTGAAAGAAACGTTTTTTTAGGGTTTTGCTTTAATTTTGTAGTGAATTATGGCTTGATGAGAAGATTTTGGTTTAGGGTTCATGTGTTTTCACTTTGAGCTGTTGGTTTTTTGGATCTGTGAAAATATATGATTCTCACATGTGTAAATTTGCAGACAACTTTGAGGATTGGGACAGCTCAGAAGTGGTGGGAGAAAGGTCTGAAAGAAAACATGAGAGAGATCTCTTCAGCTCAAGAACTCGTTGATTCTCTCACTAACGCTGGTGATAAGCTTGTGGTTCTTGATTTCTTCTCACCTGGATGTGGCGGGTGCAAGGCTCTTCATCCTAAGGTATCAATCCACTTCTTGGATTGTAGATTGTTTGGTACACTTTTGATGGGACGAACACGTTTTCTAACAAAGATGGTTTATGGTTGTTGCAGATATGTCAGTTGGCAGAGATGAACCCTGATGTGCAGTTTCTTCAGGTGAATTACGAGGAGCATAAGTCGATGTGTTATAGCCTCGGTGTCCATGTTCTCCCTTTTTTCCGATTCTACCGTGGCTCTCAGGGTCGTGTTTGCAGCTTTAGCTGTACCAATGCCACGGTTGGTTCTCATTCCCATAAAACATGAGACAACCAATTACAACCATGTTAGGGTTTGGTTTTGATCTTGATTTGTTTTTTTTCAGATCAAGAAATTCAGAGATGCATTGGCAAAGCATGGTCCAGATAGGTGCAGCCTTGGACCGACTAAAGGCCTTGAAGAGAAAGAGCTTGTGGCACTTGCAGCCAACAAAGAACTCAACTTTACTTACACACCAAAGCCTGTACCAGTTGAGAAAGAAGCAGCCACTCCTAATTTAAACCCAAGTCTCCCTGTTCCTCTTCCTTCGATGAGCGCCAATGACGAAAAAACATTGGTCTCCGCAGGGAGATGAGATCGAATAAACATTTCCCTGTACAGTTTGCGTGATAGTAGTAGTAGTAGCAGCAGCTGGATATATTGCAGTACCTAAAGATGTCAGTTCTCGGAGCAGCCAGCCTGTTTAGTGGGGTTTAGTTTTTTTTTGGGTCCCCTGAGCAAAATCGGTTCTTGGCATCTGGGTTTACCTAGAGCAAAACCAGTTCCGATGGTTACTTGAGTTTTGCTCAGTTCTTATGGGATTGAGAGTGGAAGGTCGTGCGCTCGGCGGCATAAAACCTTTCTCCTCTCAATCAGCTTCGGTAGAGTTTTGGTTTCTTTGTTTGTTTTTATTTGCTTTATGAATTTAATGTAAATAAAAATCCAATGAGGATTATCATACAATGTCATGAAGGCACTCTCTATGAGTTGGTATCTTATATATGTAGTATATATTAAGGTTTTTCAGATTTGGTGCTTCCTCTGTTTGATTATCCTACAAGTATTTGTTATAGTCATCTTCAACATCTTTTGGATAAAACGTGTGAAATTTCTAAGGCTTCAGATTTGGGTTAGTGTGGTTAGTCTGTTGCTCCACTTGGGACATTATCTTCTTAATTACATATTATGCTGCTGGTTAGTGTTCTGTTCTCCAGTTGCCACAGGACTAAAGGTCGACTATACTCTGGTTGATCTTGGCCTGGGAAAAATTCATCGTAGAAAAAGCTCTGGGTATAATTGGTACTTCAAGTTTTGTTTTTGCTGATTCAGTGAGATAAAGGAAAGTGAGTTGGCTTTTTTTTTATCAAATTGTTCCGTCTCCAACTCTGAATACAAAATATGCTTTTAATAGGACAACAAATTAGATTGAGAAACTATAAGATTGGGGAAACTTCAAATAAAACACTATCAAACCCTCCACTCCTCTGCTTTGCATCCTCTACATGCAAGAACACAAGTTTCCCATTTTTGAAAGAATCTAACCAGACATTGAGAAACTTGTATCAACCGTTAGATGAAATGGGTTTCCAGGTTTACAAGAAACTCATTCTAGCATACAATCAGCAGATCCTTCACCACTGGCTTTCTGGGTTTTCTTCTTTTTGCCTGGTTCATGAATGCAAAGATCTTGTTACTTCCATAGTCGTTGAGGTATTATGAGATATCTAGGTTGGCAAAAACGTCAAGGATTACCTTTATTCTTCAGTTTATTGAGCTTCAAGCTCTTCTTAACGCTAAATTTTTTGGGGGATTTCTTGGAATCTTCTAATCCAGCTGAAACAAGAAGGAAGAGAGATCAGCTTTTAATTAAGCAAGGCAAACAAAATTTTTAAAGTCACCATTCCAAACAAGCGTTCTGAATAATTTCATGAAATATACAAAAGAAGACATCTCAATAAGATACAGAACAAAAATGACCTTCTTATGAATATGTAACCAATAACTTTCAGATTTTATATACACTGATGACCAAATCCAAGAGATACTAAACATTTCTAAGCATTGAAAGTATACAAGATATCTATTGACAAATCTCATTCATGCCGTAAACAAGAGATCAATTAACACAAGATAACCTAAGAAGCTTTATTTCATGATGAAGAATTACCTTGAGCAGAAGCCATCTCCACATCTTCCATTGTAACAAGGCCCTTCTCCACCATCTCTTTCTGCTCCTGTTCACGAATCAAACAAGTCTTTCTTAACTACTTTTTCCATTAAACTTACTCAAAAGACATAAGTTACATGAACCCACCAAAATACATATGACCTAATGTGATTCTCAATCTTAGAAGAAACCAATTACTAAAAAAGAAGAAATTTACATACTCGGCGCCATTTGCGAAGGAGTTTTCTCTGACGTTTACCGGAGAGGGAGGGGACCGGAGTTCTAGTCTTCAATTTATTGGTAAGAGGATCGCCGTGAATGGCTCGTTTTCTATCAGCTTTAGCCTCTCTCTTCTTCTTCGCGATCTCGTTGTATTTCGCCATCTTCTTACTACTACTAGCTTCAACGCCTCTCTCCACTTAAGACCTAAAAACTAACTTCTCCTAAAACCCTAAATTCCACAGTCGCTCGAATTCTATTTGGGCTTTTCCCCAATCTTTACTTGGGCTTTTTAGATGGTACTATTTACTTTAGCGATTAGATCCGGTTCGGTCTAATCCGGCTCGAATTGAAAGTCGCCAAATCTTATTATATAAATCTGATTTTTCTTTTAGTAAGAAGATGCCATATTCTTATTTACAAATTACAGAAATCAATTATACATTTTGATTGTCTTTAGGTGGTTTAATTGATTAGATGGTTTAATGGAAAGGTCTTAGCACATGCTCTCCAGCTTCATCTTCTCTCTAAATTATATATCGAAATTATGATCTAATCATGAGTAATATTATATACATATAATTAATTAATAATGCATGCATCATCACTCACATATAGGATATATTGTTGTTGTTATTCCGTTATGTATTTTTTTTTTGTTTTAAAACTGTTAATAATGATTAAAACAAATAAAAAGTCCCATATGGGTGCATGTGAAATATGAAAGGGCATATTACAAAGTTAGATTTGTCCAATTATTTTTCCTTCTTATGATAATAGCTAGATGATAATTTGAAAGGACAAATAACTTTAATTAGAGGTACTATCCATATCTACCTTGCAAACCTACAACAATTAATGTGTAGATGGCCAAAACAAACATATTTACACACCTCGAGCATATAAAAATTTACACACTTGCGGATTCATTCATTTAAAAAGTATATATTTATATATATGTTTTTAGTTTTTAAGGACAAAATAAAAATGATAGATGGCCCTTTTTAATGGTTCTAAACTTTATTTTGATATCGTGAGAGCATTTAATACTACTTTGTTCTTCACGCAAAATCAACATGCATAATATTTGAGCGCCAGATCTGTCGATAAGTTCTGACTCTTCTTCCTGTGACAACACTTTGTGCTCATAACACCTTGGAATCCAAATTTGCTGGGAAAACTCAAGTGAGAGAAAAAAGCAGAGGTGGACGCACACTACGCGTACAGAAGAATGTCATGAACCATCAGGTCAATAGAGAAGTAATGGATGTAATAGAAAAATTGAAGAACCATGAAGAGGACAATGCATAGCCTGTAGATGAAGGCGAAGCTGACATTTTGGATTTTACTAAGTTCTTAATATAGAACGTAAACTATGGTTCTCTGAAAAAAAAACATGCATAATTTGTAGATTTACTATATTACTCACATGTCACAACCCACACGAATATAAACAATTTCGGATACGGACTTACGGCTACATATTCAGTTACTTCTTGATGTCATATGCATAACTCATTGAAGCTCCTTGCCCAAAAAATGCATTAATATGCAAACTTAATGCATATATGATATATATATGGGATGGCCTTAAATCTCTTGACTCAAACTAATTAACATAGAAAATAATAATCTGACAATCGTAGTTAGAAAAACGTAAAAATTTCGTTTATAAGATCTAGAAAAAGATATATGTGTACATGAATGCAATAACTTAATTAATGTATGTGTAATTTTTTTTTTTTTTATTGCATGTGTAAGTATATGTGATGTATATATGGCCGTAGGTGTCATGGGACTTTCCTAGAGTTGCAACTTGGCAATGAATTGTTATGAACTTTCTTATTTCCTAATTTTAATTATGTTGGAACAACGTGGGAAGATTCTCTCACGACCATCATCGTTCATGTGTTTTTTTTAGTGACGCGCCATTCGAACAAAACATTCTCCGACTAATGAAGACATGCGGGAACTCGACCTAGCTAGCTCTACCTTCAAGCATAATAGAACTAACCTTATAATCATGTCCTTATAAAAACTTTTGCGTTATTTTAGTTATTTACTCATATTTAAGTGAAACTAAAACACATGTAAAGAAAACGTTGTCTGTGTCAAATAATCCGTAAGGTGGAACTAATTTATCAGGGTAGTTTTCTTAAAACACTTATCTTGCCTAATTATTAATCGTCTTTGAATAGAAAATAGTTATATTGGAGTTGGACAGTAAGTGAGACACATTCTCTGCCCATGTTTCACTGTCCCACAAATCCCTAATGAGGACAAAGCTTTACAAGTCACTCAGTGTTTTATGATCAGAAACCCACGATTTCTTCATATTATATATATCCCATCATCATTTTTTTAATCTTCTTTATCACACTTAGTCGTTTGAGGTTGCACAGATCAGCAATCTGATATGGTTATGGAATTAATGCTCGTCTAATTTCCAGTTCAACTTTTCACAATTTAGCATTTGCGTTAGTAGATGATAAAACAAACTTATAATTTAATTTCGTTTTCTCAAACACAATTTGCAGTTTTTTGAACACACGAACATGGATAAAACATCAAGGAAATTGTATCAATCTTGTTCTCTTACTTTTAGCGTTTGAGCATAACCATCATATCAGTTTTTTAAAGTATGTAATGTCACAGATACACAGAGAAACCGAAGAAGTATTTTACTGTATCATACAAATTGTAATTATGACGCCGATGGAACTCGTATATTATTCCACCGATTGAAAAGAAACACAATCATGATAAAATAATTGAGAGAGATTAAAATAAAATAAGATTCTGACTAATCATTGTTTTCCAGCTTTTGGTTCTTATTATCAACTTCGCTTGAGGACCTTCAATCTCAGTTGCACAAAAATGCCATAAAATTAGCCGAAAAGTGAAGAAAGAGGAGAAAAATGGCGATCCCTTCTCACCTTTTCTTCCTCTTCTATTACATTGGTTTTGCTCTTTTCCCTTTTGTTTCTTCTGAAACATTTCAAAATTCTGAACAAGAGATCTTGTTGGCCATCAAGTCAGACCTGTTTGATCCTTCAAATAATCTCCAAGATTGGAAGCGACCTGAGAATGCCACAACATTTTCTGAGTTGGTTCATTGTCATTGGACCGGAGTTCACTGCGATGCAAATGGCTCTGTGGTTAAGCTCCTTCTCTCCAACATGAATCTCAGCGGAAACGTGTCAAATCAGATTCAGAGCTTCCCCTCTCTGCAAGCCCTTGATCTCAGCAACAACGCATTTGAGTCTTCTCTTCCTAAATCTCTTTCTAGTCTCACGTCCTTGAAGGTCTTCGACGTGAGTGTGAACAGCTTCTTTGGAACCTTCCCTTATGGTCTAGGGATGGCCACTGGTCTCACACACGTCAATGCCTCAAGCAACAATTTTTCTGGGTTTCTCCCTGAAGATCTCAGCAACGCAACTACACTTGAGGTTTTGGACTTTCGAGGAGGTTACTTCGAGGGCTCGGTGCCTTCTTCCTTCAAGAATCTCAAGAATCTGAAGTTTCTCGGTCTTTCGGGTAATAACTTTGGTGGAAAGCTACCAAAGGTGATTGGTGAGCTCTCATCCTTGGAGACCATCATTCTTGGTTACAATGGCTTCACGGGTGAGATTCCAGCAGAGTTTGGGAACCTG